CGCAGATCCATCCATGCTACATCTCGGGAGCTTTACCAGCCTCAGCGAGGCTGGTAAAGATTACCGAGACGTTCTGAGATTTTACAAGGATATTACACGTAGGTACTTTCACACGTGCCGTAAAATGTTACTTTTGGTTACATTTTGTTACATTTGGTAAGATTTTTGTACGTGTGAATCGGGTATAAGTGTCAGATTGCTGCACAAGTACAAAAGTATCCCCATCTTCCTGATTTATAAAATAAATTTTTAAAGAAAGATAAGGGAGAGAGAAATGACAACACATTTGCTAACAGTGATGCATGTACCATAGTGGTGTGCGAGTATACTTTATATATAGAGGATGCACATACTGGAAGATGATGATGACAATGATGATGATTTCTGGATGAACATCTTTATCTTTTTAACAATGAAACTTGTATACAATAATGCATTTTCTGTAAATAGTATATTTTCATTATTAAACGTAAATGTTTCTTTATTAGGATTTAGATTCTGAAGAAATTTCAGCATTAAGTCCAACAGACGACAACACCACACCTCCTTACCCAATTACGCAAAATGGTGTGGGTGAGCCGGATGAGTCAGGATCCAGACCAATGTCTGTCATTCAAGAAGAGAATAACGGTGTCGTACAGATAACTGCGCAGGAGCCCCAGCAGACGCCATTAGTCAAGAAACCACGCTCAATCCTCAAGAGACATGATGAGTTAGCAATACTACATGAGGGTGGCAAACTTATTACTCTCGACGAAGATGCAGTTAGAGAAAGAGAACAAAAAGAACGTGATTTAGAACATTTAAAAGAGAAAGAAAAGGAGAATGTACTGAAGAAAGAAAAAGAAAAAGAGGCTTTGAAGAAATCGAAGGAAGATGCAAAGAGAGAAAAGAAACGATTAGATAAAGAGCACAAAAAAGTTGAACATGCGAAATCAAAGAAAGAAAAAGGGAAGCATAGTCGATTCAGTTGGGCTGCTTTTGGGTTATCAAAATCTGAGAAATATCATCAAGAAAAATATAATAGTGGTAATCATGAAACTCTATCAGAACTTAAAAGGCAGCGATCATCGTCACACCCACAAGCTCATTTCAAACCCACAGAAAATCCACCCACGACAGAGAAAGAATCTCAGGAAATGGATAATAATACGGAAATAAATCCAGGACAGAAACGTCGGTGGAGTAGGAATTTAAACATCCCCACCGCTAATAGCAGCGGCAGTTACTCCCTGAAAGACTCAAGCCTTCCACGTAAAGAATCGCTAACTGACTCAAATGGTATAGGTGAACACCACAACTCTGAATCAACTAATGCAGCAGAACCCAACGCGGTGGTTATAACCACAGGAAGTGATCCCCCGCTGAAGCGGTTCACAGCCATCGAGCCAGAAGTCATAGGAGAAAAAAGTGTTTGTTGTATACTGATGTGAGTCTGGTCTGTGTGAGACCATTTTTTAAATAACAGCATGAAGATCTTATAAATGATTAAATTATTATCATTGATCTGAATGATACAAAGTTTACTGTATAAGAGCAAATATATGATATATTTCATGTTTTACCAGAAACAAAACAATTGAGTTATATTTACTGAATTTGGAATTATTGCAAATGGTCTTTTGCTTGTTTGTAATTCATACAGAAAACATAAAACTTAAATGCAAGATAATGATTTTTATTGTTATTCGTAAGTGCCTCCACTATGTTGACCTTTATGTTACATTGTATTCATCAACCAGCCATAACATTGTCTCTCTGTTATTAATAACTTGTGTAGAGCCAAAATGTATATTGTCAAGCAGAAGGTGTTTTATATGTACACGCTACATTTGCTTAAGAGCTTTGCCTAACACGCTTAATGGTATGAAGCATCACACATTATAAAATGTATCAGAATTCAGACTCGTCTTGGATGCTATTTTTAAAGATCATTTTCAACACATGAATATTTGATTTTTGTCTAAGAAAATGTATCTCGGTGACATTTCATTGAAAGTGACCTACATTCACAATGATCAACTACTTTAAAAACATCACATCATTTAAAACAAATTTAAATCATATAATTATGATATTAGATAGGCAAGAAAGAGTTTTAAAAATTTCATATCTATTAAATCAAAAGGTATTAACAAATTATATTTTTTAAAACATAATTTTATAAATACAATAGAAATTATTGGATTCAACATTTTGAAAAAAAAATGATTGAAAAGTAGGTTGAATCACTATAAATATAACAAATGTGATGCATTAATATTCTGTACAGAAATTCACTACAAATTTTGAAGGGAAACATTAGTATATGTTAATTACAGTATATGATATAGGTGTGATGTACTTACATGTAAATTAATAAATTAAATAAGACTTATAGATACAGTGGTTATTTTCATTTGGAGGAAGTATATCGAGGTAAATCCATTATATTAAAATGTAAGTAAACTAAGTCAACATTAAAAAAATAAATTTAGTTGTCCATTGTATTTTTCTATAATACATATAAGCATAAATAGGTCATGTATTTTGTGACATTTTATTATTTTAGTTTGTTAATAATTATATCTCCAAAGGCTAGGCTAGGCTGAGCTGGGCTGGGCTTGGTCTGGTCGGGCCCGACTAGGCTTGGCTTAGGCTAGGAAATAATCTTATGATTTCAATATGCAAACAGTTGACTGCCATGGAACTCAGCTGATATCATCTAAAGTCCTATCCACTCTATTCAGTCACAAATACCTGTGAATTTCCCATATATGGGTGTGATCATGACATCATGCCCATATATGGTCAAATCACATGTAAAACTTTGGACAGGGCTTCAAACAGTCTTTTACATAAATGCATTTAATTTCAAGTTTAACATCAAACAAGGAAACGGGGAACTGTATATTTATATGTAGTAGTTCATTGATCAAGTTTTTGTCATCTAGATTTTTTGTCAACTAAACCAGGATGTTCAGGTTCTCAAAATGATTAAGTAACTTACATATTTTTTATTTATGCTATAAAAACCAGTTTCTGTTTCTAAATGGTTGATCCACAGTGAATGCTACAACATTCCTTTGTCAAAATCTGAAAAATACATCACCAATATTTTTATCGGAGTGTAATGATAAACATGTTCTATTTTATATGCTAAATTAATTCAACTTGCCCGATAACAAAGTTTATTCAGTAGATTAATTAAAACTAATTAATTTGACAATATTGACAATTGATTATTTTAACCATTGCTGATTATTCTGACAATAAAATAATTTTTTTTCCAATTAATTATACTAACAATTATTTTTATTTCAACGATTTTATTTCAAATGAAGTGTATAATAAATCATTATTGAAATATTCAATTGTTAATTTAATCATTTCAATTATTTTAACAATTGATTATTCAATAATTCAAAAAAAATATCATTTTAAACAATATGCCATTTTAATAATTAATATTTTAATTATTCAACAGATAAGTTGAACAGTATCTTATTTTTATTTATATTTGGGTACTTATATCTATAATATTTTCGAACACATTTATTACGGTAACTTCTTGGGAATTAGTACAATATGCTAGCTACCAATAACCAATCATATTTCATGACCTAAATACTGTCTTAATTTCACCAAGTGTGCTAAAAGCTACACATGTAAATATATTAACTCTAGTATAAGTTAGTTTATCAAAATAGTAATATAATTTGTTTCAGTGGTTGTGGAGTTTAAAAACTATGCAAAGTATGCGTTTTATCCTGGCAATATTCCTATACTTATTTTCAGTAAATAGCAACATCTGTTTATAAAAGTACATAAAAAATTATTGCAATTTCCAATCTGATTCTTAAGGTTTGTGATGATGATGAGCTTTTTTTATTGCTAGTGATGATGTTTTAGGAAAATGTTGCAATGAGTTTTAATATTTTAATTATTTTTTTTTTAAAAATTTATGGGATGTTTGTAAATGAAAATAGGAATGACTGTTGCTAGTGACGTGACTATTGTCAGTTACCACATTAAAAAATGAGTATTTAAATTTTTCACATAAGCTGGACATATAGTAAGAAAGTAACATGTTTGTCTTTCAGACTCAACTGGTAATATTTTATTAGACTTGATGTAGAGCATGTTCTGACATCTAAATCTCTGTCTACACTATAAGGTTTTGTGGTTGTGATATGCCACATATTTGTCACATAAAACCTTATAGTGTGAACAGAGGTTAAAACTTTGATCAGATGAATCTCAAATAGTTATCAATGTCTGATTAAACTTTGTTGAGTCTAAAGCTCTGTCCACACTATCAGGTTTTGTGACAAATACCTGTGGTTGTGATGACATTTGTCAGATAAAACTTTGTAGTGTGAACAGAGGTTAAAAAAATTGTCAGATGAATCTCAAATAGTTATCAATGTCTGATTAAACATTGTTGAGTCTAAAGCTCTGTCCACACTATCAGGTTTTGTGACAAATACCTGTGGTTGTGATGACATTTGTCACATAAAACGTTGTAGTGTGAACAGAGGTTAAAACAATTGTCAGATGAATCTCAAATAGTTATCCATGTCTGATTAAACATTGTTGAGTCTAAAGCTCTGCCCACACTATCACCTAAAACTTGATAGTGTGGACAGATGTTAAGATATACAGTATGATTTGTTTGATCAGATGTACCTCAAATAAGTATCAAAGTCTGATTATATATTATTGAGTCTAAAGCTCTATTGAAACTATTTGTGTGATCGCATAAGTTTGAAAAATGTGACAACGAATGTGGACAACAACAGAAAATTCTGAAAGTGTCTGGGTTTAGTATGGATATGTTGTAAAGAAGTTAGGTTTATGGTTTCAAAACTTAAAATAGCCTGAATGTTGTTTTTTCCATGTTGTTCAGTTATTTTAAAAATTATGTTTACCGGTATTAAATTTAGACACGCCCACTTCTTCAATATATATGTTAAGCAAAATGAAAATGTATTATAAAGAATAAGAAAAAATTAATACAATTATAACAATGAAAATGCCTAAAAGATTTATAATTATTTTCTTTTAAATTAGACCCTCCCCAAATGAGTGCATTCCTGTTCTAAATTGGTCCATTTCAGCTCCACAAATCTTGTTGGGATACGGAACACAGCAACTTGATAGGATACTAAACTTGGCAACATCAGTTGTGAAACCAAAGTGCTTATACATACAAGAGTTCCCGCTGCCCATTTAGTTAATAGATCAGTTTACATTATAAATCAATTTTGATAGTCAAAATTGTAATAAAATAATCTCCAATGGCTTCAGTGTTTGTAAGGTACTATCTGAGCTGGTTACATCTAATTTTATTTTGTCATAACTATATTGTTATAACTCTGTTTACACTGCCAAGTTTTCAAATATTTGTGATTTTCCTGTTTATGGGCATGACGACATATCACACCCATAAACAGGCAAATCACTTGTATTTCACTGAAAACTATTTGATATTTGTGGAGAGAGCTTAAAAGATCTTTGGTGCCAAGATGAATCATCTCTAAACTTTTTGTTTATTAGACCTGCTTTCGAAAGTTGACATAAAGTAGGTTATTACAGGAACCTTTGCCTTTCACCCCAAAAATGCCACAAACAGCTATTCTGGAGATCAATTAGCTTACACCATTTATATTTAATTCCTTAGTATCCAATTCTTTCCTAATTTACAGATACGTATTAGTTTGTACTGATTCTATACTTGTTTTACAATTACACAATTGCTTAAGTTAGTACTATTGGAAGTTGATAATTACTTAGCAATGTGTATGAGAAATTCAATGTTTGAATTCATTTGTAGGGGGAGGGTGTTGGGGGTGGTGCAGTTTTCAGGATTTTTTTTTAGAAAGTTGAAATACATGTTATTTTTAAAACTATTTCCCTACTTCCATGCACAAGTTAAATGATGAAAAGAATGTGTTAATATAAATAATAACATAAAATAATTGCAAAGTTCATAAATCTTAAGTTGTATATTTTGGACTACAGCATTTATATTGTATATTTTCAAATGGTTTAAAATACGATCTAGAGTACATTTATCCAGTGTTAATATCAAGACTAATAGAACCTATGTGCATATAATGGTTAAAGCAAGGATTTATTTTTGGTTGAAGCAATATTTTTATTTTTTAGTGTACTCAATTTGAGTTGGATATATGGTCACTGATGATGATGTAAATATCTGTTAATGAAGAGTCTCTGTTGTTACTATACCTACATTTCATTGTGATTAACTTCAGATATGTATATAAAAGTACTACGTAATCTCTCCAAGTAGCTCTATTCATAGTCTCTTACAAACAGTTATGGTAGTAGTATCGCTGGTAAAATTTGCCGGTGATATTTTAAAAAACTATTTGTATACAAGGAACAAAGTAAGGATGACAGTACACAATTAATTGTATTTTAATAATTTAAAGGTCCGTTAGATTAAGATTACCATGGCAACAGTCAAATGTCCTAGGAAAACATGAATAACCATGCTTCAGATTATATTCGTCCCACAAACATTACAGACGCAACAGCTCAGGATGTAAGAATTTCCATAGGATGCAGTAAACATTTTTTTTTTTTATTTGGCCTAATGCATGTAATATCTTCCTATGGGCATGAATTATAAAAGAAATTCATTAACATATTTTGTTAATTATTACTGTACATAGATTCTGTATTAGCTGCAGTAAACTTTCCAAGGTAGCATTCTTGTAATTTCCTTCAAATTGTACAATATATGCTAAATGAAAGAGCTAAATATATCCTTATAATGCCCTATAATGCCCTATTAGGTCCTGGGGCTCCATAATTGCAATCTATACAGGTGTTGGCTGTTATATATCTTTGTTATGTACTTGCATCAGCTGTGACAATGTTTGACTTGTATCTGTATATGTTTCTTTAACATGACAAAAATAACTTTAGATGACTTGAGAAGAAGTTTCTGAAAACTGACTCCTTAAGCCTTAATACTGTAAAAGCACAATATTTTATGTATTGGTTTGATTAAAATAAAGACAATTTATTACAAAAATGTTTGAAAGATGTACAGTATTCCTTTTATTACTTTTCACCTTTTTAAAATTCATCTTCATGATATTTCAACAGGTCTGGTGCTCAAATCATATTTTTATTACAACAATATTATGATTAAAATGATCATAAATTATAGCAATAAAGTATTAATGAAAAAAAAAAAATATAATAATAATATAATTAAAATTAGGCAGATGGGAACAATAAGTTATTCAACTAAAGAAAACCCTCCCATACAACTACTGTACGACTGCATTTAACTAAGGCCTCCACTAATAATTCTGAAACGAAACGAATCCCAGTCCATCATCGTTAAGCCAACATTTTGATAAGCTAAGTGTAGCAAAGTATGTATAGTAGATATTTATAGCGTGATAATTAGAAGCGTTCAGGAAGTCGGTTTAAATTAGACCTTCCAACAGGATGCAGGCTTAGTGAAATCATCAACGCAAGCTACTAAGCTTGCTCACAAGCCTTTCAGGAAAACAAACAGAAACGACGATGACATGTTTGTTTTCCCTGCTCGTTAAATCAGCTGATTGTTGTCAATTGGATTTACTATTTTGCTCAAAGCATTTTTTAATGTTCTCTCTCCATTACTGTCATTTTTGACGTTATTATCACCACGTAATTTGTTAAATGTCTGTCACTACAATGTGTTCTAAGTTCTTGCTTCTTGTATCACACCCTCAGTGGTGGATCCAGAAATTTGAAAGCTCAGGGATGGACTTTCACAGATGGAGGGTCTACACCACCTTAGCCCCACCATGGTTGGGGCTGAAGTAATAACATTTATGATTACGGCACCTATAGGTGGCTGGAAACACTCTCAGACATAAATTTGAATAATTTTTCTTTCTTTCTCCATTAAAAAATTTAGGGGGCCTCGAATAGTTGGGGCCCCCGTTTAACCTGCCACTGACCCTCGTCTGATTTATATCATTTTCGAACGTGCTGTCAATCTGATACGGTCATGGGTCATTGATTGGTTTCCTCAGCTCTGCTAGGTCAGTTAATGGGAGTAATTATTTACTTATTACTCCATGGTCAGTCTATTACATCACGTCCTTCCATCTATGGCTTTATCATCAGTGTGACATACACCTCGATGTAGTATATACTTCAGATCTTTGTTTCTTTCGTTACTGATACATCACATTCAATCTCTCCATGTTACCTCAACTTCATCTGTTCGGAATCTGCAAGTAAATTTGCCTCCAAATTGTTATTCAGTTGACATTCATATTGTGATATATTTGAATTACAAAAATAACACTAGCCATTAAGGATTTTAAAAAATAAATGTAAAACAGCTGTATATTATTAGAATTATAACTGGGTTTTAAAATTGTTTGAAAAATTTCAGATCAGCTTCAGCTTTTCAGCATTTTTGAAGTAGTTTTTCCAGTTTTCTAGAATCATCCTTTCTAACATAACTGTTGTAACTCAAATTGTGAATAATGGATTTAAACGATGACAGGATATAATAAACACCACAAATTTAAAAGCAATAAACCAAAATTTAATCCGGTAATTCTCAGACATGTTTCATATTGTTTATAATTATAAAAATTCTAAAAGTAGTAATAAATATGTCAGTAGTTCAAAGTAAATATATTTGTGTAATAACAAATTGGGTTCAAATACTATGAGCAAATGTATATTTTTTTTTGGTAAAGATATTTTTTTTTTCAAGTACTGTATATTTACCTCTGTGTACAAAATGTTTGATCTAATGGAGTTGTCAATCCACTTGTGAACATCTCCCATCCAGCTTGGGCAATCATCGCGCCATTATCAATACAAAACCTAAAATTAAAATTGAACTAAGTGAAAGTTAGAGCTTTGATTGGTTCTGTGCTATTATGCACCTTTCCACAGTAAAGCTCTACTCTGCAGATGTCTTAACCTGAACTACTTCCCCTGTAAAAGGCTGCCCTGCACCTCTTTCCCAAAAAAATGTACCCTGCAGGGGACTACACTTCCCCATTCATCGCAAAGCACTAACCTGTACCACTGTCTGCAATGTTGTACCCGGTACAGGTCTACCCTTCAAAGCACTACCGTGCACAGGGCTTATCCTTTGCCATTTCCTGTAAAGCACTACTCTGCATCACTATCCTACAAAGCTGTATCCTACAGAGACCTTTCACCACTCTCCTGCAAAGCACTACCCTACAAAGTTGTACCATGCAGAGGGCTACCTTTCACCACTCCCCTGCAAAACACTACCTAGCAACACTCTCCTACAAATATGTACCATGCAGAGGGCTACCTTTCACCACTCCCTGCATAAGTACTACCTTGCGTCCCCTCCAGCACAATTCCTTTGCACTAGAATTGTTTAAGTGACAGAATAATCATCCTATTGGCCTTTACCTCATGTCAGTTGCAAACAGCTTAGCACCTCTCTCCTCAGCCATGATCCCCATCATTTCTTGCAAACGTTTGTTACCTATTTAAGGGGAAAAAAAATTATACTTTTAATCTAGTTTTTATTTTCCCCTTTAAGATGGGCCACTTATATTTTACTTTAAAAGATATGAACCAATATAAACAAACCATTCTGCCCTCAACAGAATAAAAGGAAAGCGAATATAATTGTGGAAAGCATAATGTCACAAGACGGAAACATGTTAAGAATAAGAAGACCACTTTAATGCTTCACATTTTTCATGCTCCCATACATTTCAATATGGCATAATCCAAGTAATTGCATTAATGTGCACTTTGAGAAATACTAACGTCATTGCGTCATTCAACATTTGCACTGCCATGGTTGCTGGCATTTCATTAATTCCTGTTGATTGATTGATGAATTATACTATGATTGAAAGTACATAAAAAACAAGAGCGACGGTCCGCGCGTTCCTCCACGCCTAAATATGGTACAGGTAATAGGTTAATATAATAATAAGTTATATCAGGTTTTTTGGAAGAGCTACAAAAATATAAATTTTTAATAATTAGGATGCTTATTTGTACAAAAAAAAAATATTTAGAATGTTCATTTGTACAAAATTTGAATATTTTAAAATTAAAAAAATAAAATTTTTAAAATTGGGGAAAAAAATTGAATACCAATATGTGATTCGAACTCACAACCTTAACTTCTTCCATGCGTCGTGTCCTATTAGTGGTAATGGCAATAATGTACAGTCCTTGCTGAATGTTTTGTTTTGTAGATGTAGGGGGAATCCTGGTGTCCAACTTAAAAAATGGGTGATGGACATTTGTTGGAAATCACCCCTAGTTTATGTGTACAAAATTTCCTGCACGTCCAATCAAAATTGGCGACGCTGGACAATTTTAAAGGTTTTGTAACAAGAACAAGAACAGTAGTGAGGCTCTGGGGTCAGCGCCTTGCACGGACCCAAATATTAGGAATTCTTTTCTTCATTAACTTAGGCATTTAAATTGATTTTAATAAACTTACAGCCAACACCTCCAACTATGAGGACTTCATTTGACCCACAATGGGCCATGGCACGTTCTGTCACCTCAACTAACATAGCAAACAGCGTCTCCTAAGCAAATAAACATGGTAAAATTAAATAATGTAACCTAATTTCCATTTTTTGTGTTATTCTCACTCTGTCTTGGATTTGGCTCCATGATTTTGCTTCATTTAGTTAGGTATTGTTTATAAAAACAAATTTCATACTCATTATCTTAATTTTTATGTAATGGCATAATAATAATAATTATGTATAGGTGTAATTTTGCCCTACTTGACGTGAAAATGTACCGAATACTCGGTACATTTGAAAAGCTCGGTGGTCTAGAGGTATGATGCCAGGCTAGTGATCTGGAGATCGTGGGTTCGAGTCCCACCCGAGAACAACTTGCGATTTTTTTTCGCAGTTGTTTTCAAATGTACTGAGTATTCGGTACATTTGCACGTCAGGTAGGGCAAAATTACACCTATACATGTTTCTCCTGATGCAAATCCAGTTATTGTCTATTATTCCATCACAACAATAACAATTACTATCAATAATAATTATGTAATTGCATAAAATAATAGAACTCAGTGGTGGATTCAAGGGGGCCCGGTCAGCCATCTAAGTTTTTTTTTTAAAAAGAGTGAAATTTCGAGCCATCATCAAGATATGCCATAATCATGAATTTTCTTACCTCAGCCCCAACCATGGTGGAACTGAGGTGGTTCAGACACTCTGTCTGTTAAATGTCCTCCTGGGCCTTTCTATTTGGAATTGCTGGATCCGCAACTGAAACTGATTACCTGAAGTGAAAAGCAGAGGTCAGCTTGGGTGCATTCTCCTCGCTTCAGCTGCTTACTCCCCACATCCTGTTACCAAATCAAATTATCAGTATCAGAAATATTATGGTATCAGAATTGTGTCTGAGGTTTTGAGGACCAGGCTTTGACAAGATGTATTATGATTAGTTATACAAAAAAAAATCCATGTCTAGTATTTCTCATAATTATAACAAAAGGCAAACTCAGCATCATATGATGCAGCCTGACACAATTTGTTGTCGCAAGTGGTCTGTGTGAGTTAAATGATGCAGATGCAAGGTCTGCGTTGGGGAGAGTAGTGTCACTGAATATAAAACATTAATATTCTCACAATGACCAGACTGCAACCAGTGATAAATGACATTTGGCAGCATTGCATGACACTGTCTGTGTTGGCTTTGATAGATAGTTATCTCATTAATAATAAGACATTATTATGATAAATACTCCGACATACAGTCTAATTTCTCTTTAATTCACTCACTTCTATATAGGATAAAATGCCTGAAAAAGATACGTCCATTCCCTTTGTCACATAGGGCAGTTCTATTAACTTTTTTCCTCTGCAAGATAATATCATGGTATATTTTAAGCACTATGTGTATGTGTCGTTTTTAGTAAACACAGCAGTTCTTCAACTTTTGTCAATATATTGTTAATTAATAATAATATTATATTGATTATTTTTACTCTCACCCAACCTACCAGTAAGTCTTTTTCTGAATATTTCTTACCCTTTTGCCATTTGTTCAATGTTGTAACCTGGACTGGGATCATTTGATAGCTACAAAATAAAAACAAATATTTAGAAAAATATAAACTGTTTTACAGTACTTTCCATATTTGGCTCTGCTCTCCTCAACGACCTTCCTGACTCAGTGAAAACCCTTTCTATTTACTCATACAAGCTCAAATCTCTCATTCTCAATTAGTCAATGCTATTCCTATACATACTATTGATAGGTAAGCTGGTAGGTAGTTTTTGTGTGCAAGTGTCGCACTCCATAGACGAACACTTTTGGAGAACAACCAGTGACTTCATGTGTGCTTTGGCTTTTTCAGTATACATTAAAACAATGAATATTTAATTACTCTCTGATAGCTGAAGGTTCATTAATCGATCAATACTAAACTCTAAAACAAGTGTAACATAAAACTGGCACTAACCTTGAGTACGCGTGCAAACCTGTCGAGACAGTTGCCAATGGCGATATCAATCGTTTCACCAAATATACGGTATTTTTTGTGTGAGTATGCAATAACCTGAGAAGATAGTACAGTACACAACAAATTCATTAAATCAAATTCTTTAATTTTTGGATGAGTGATATTTTTTTTTCTATTTCTCTGCAGAAGCACACCTTACAGCACTTTTATGTTTTTGCTTCTCATCTTTGTTCCAATTGGGTTGCCGAAATGAATTTTAAAAAATTCAAAAAATGTATGAACTTCCATTAAGCTACCGTATGTCCAGACGATAATACACAATTTGATAGGCTGAATAGTGCTTTACAAACATGAACAAAATTAAAGCTTGGTGAAGTACCTGTGTGTTCCCTCCACTGACATACAGGACTGTAGGATTGATTGCATTTGTTATGAGTCGTCCCATCTCAATGTCTTACAGAATGAAATTAAGGGAAAATGTAGGTAAATAGCAAGTTGTTGTAGTGTACAGAAATTTTTTTTTTTTGATGAATAAACCTGCTACATAATGTATACTGAGACATAGAAAGTTGTGTTTTTGATTTTTGAAGGATACGTCCAATACAGTGATTGACTCCAACAATTGGCTTATTCCACAGCTGGGCTACTGTCCTTGCAACAAGAGCAACAGATACCAAAGGTGCTCCCATACCAGGACCTAGCAAAAAGACAACAGAAAAAAGAAACACATTAACATCATTAATTAAAAAGGAGCAAGAAAATAAAGCAGAATTAAATATTAAGACTGGCTCAGCACAATATTGCACATTCCTCTGTTTATGTTTATCATTTCTAGTTAAAATGTTTGTTCACTTATGTTATATTATATTTTTTGATATACCGGTACTGTTTAAAGAAAATGTGTTCGATAAAGTGAGTGATAGTTGGGTTTTACCTTTCGTGTACGCAATACAATCAATATCTTTGGGACTGACACTGGCCTCATCTAATGCTCTGTAAACATAATTGTATTACATTAGTTTTATATTTGGCATACCATAAAAAATGTACAAAAACAATATTATTTAGATAAAATGCAATGTATTCTTCCTTGTTTTTAGAAATGAACATACTTTTGTAGCACTTCTATGATGTGTGCTTGGTGATGTCTGGCAGTATCTCTAGGCTGAAACCCTGGAAGAAGAAAAGTCAATTTGAAATATTGAAGCTCTGATTCTAAAACAAAAATTCCTAGGACAAAATATGCATTGCAAAATTACTATCATCTCAAACATTTTAACAACTGCACATACCTTCACCTGGTGGTGTTATGTATGTAACTCTTGGATTAGACAATACCTCTCCATCTCGGATTATTCCAATTCCTAGCTTGTTGGCACTCCCTTCGAATCCAATCACGGTCGGCATGCTGAAGTACCTGTTTTAAAAGAGCAATCTTCAAGATCAAAACATTATTGTGGTTAAACAAGCAGGTAATACTTATAACACTGGCAGTGCTATTGTTACACCATTCCTAGACCAATACTTCAATCTCATTCTGATTGCATGTTATTGTCCTTATCCCATCCATAGTCTTTAGATACAAATCAATAACATCCATTCTACTTGGCTACCTCGGGCCCAGACCTAGCTAGGCTCGGGATGGGAGCCTCTGCTGGTGTTCGACGGGGCGCCGCCGAAATTGGCTTCAGCGGAGGTCTAGGCCTAGGGGCCCAGAGCTTTTTGCCTTTTAGTAGGCTAGGCCTAGGCTAGACTGGTGCCTAGCTTATACGCTCAAGATTGTAACTTACTTAATTTTAATGGATAGCTATTTCCATATACGGTATATGCTTACACTAGAAAAGTACAAAATTTGGGCCCCAGCCTAGGCCTAAGCCTACACAAGTCGAAGTTTTTCTAGCGAGCCTACCAACAAAGCCCCTGCCTGTCGACGGTCAATATTTACAAATTTCAGCAGGACAATAGATAGAGGGTGCTAGACTAGTCGTACCATGGTCGTACCCGAGTTTTTTTTCTGCAGGTACTAAAAAAAGTTAAACCATGCTTTTAATTAAGGCCATCAATTTTGTACAGTAATACTGTAAATTAATGTATTTCTTTTTATAATTAAAGCAAAAATAAATTCGAACAACTTTCTATACTTCATAACTTTTTCTGCCAATATAAAGTTGAATAATACAAAACTTACTGGATTACCTGCCAACGCTAGAGCAAAACAATGGCAGCCTCCTATGTTAAAGACGTGACAGTTTTATGCTCATATTCACAATTATTAAAGCGAAATATACATAGGCAGTTGTGCATAAAACTTAAATATTCGACCGTGGTGAGCGTAATTATTGTGGATTTCTTGATTAAGCCACCCGTGCCAGTTGTTTAGTTTTTTAGGCTAACTAAGAGCCGGGGCAGGCCAGGTTTGGCGCACGCTTGCACAGCAGCAGCCTGCACCCACTGACTGGTGATAAGGCCTAGCTAGGCTACATCCAATGTCCCCTAGTCCTGAACCTAGGCCATTATTACCCCCCCCCCCCCGGTTAAAAAGGGAAATTAGAAAATGTGGCATGTGGTGAAAGATATCTCTGAGCACCCGTTTGTCTGTGTGGCAGGAGAAATGTGTTTGCTGTTCCTTGTTCGAGCCACAGGAACGTGACAGTGGTGATGGATGGATGACATTCTAAGATCTTATTTTACCAGTTCTCTGTAATTAAGTTGATAATTAATGTATATTTTAGCTTATTTTTTTTTTTTTAAATGTAAAAATAAAATAACCTTTATAAATATTATACGGTAAATGAAATGCAGAAAAGGCTGTTTCTCTTTGCAAGTGGAAATGGTACCACAAGCAGCTCTCTGAGATAGATACATGTGCCTTACAAGATGCCATTATTATTATTATTGTTGGATTGTGAAAGTATGACAATAGGAATTCATCTTTTTTGTACCATTAGTGTTTTGTATGGTGTCTAAATTGACATGCAATCCACTTCGATGTTTAGTGCTATAATTTTAGTAAATCTGCTTCAATAAATTTACTGTATACACATATTTACTAGGCTGAACTTACTGTGGAAAATAATCAAACAACCATTGATGAGAATGTGAAGTCAGAGTCATTTAAACATCGCAGCCATCCAGGTGTTCTCAAGTGCAAGAGAGTTGTATTACCTGTCAGGCTCCAAGAAAGCATATCAGTTTTATTAGAAAGTAAGTTATCGTGATATATATATATATATATATATATATATATATATATGTATATATATGTATAAGTCGATCTTATTTTACATGCCAAATTGTTGTGTTTTCAGTTTATTAACAATCTGTAGGTTAAATTTAATGAAAGTTGAATAATTTTTCAGTGACAATTTGGATTCGACTTAGGCAAGATCAACTGTGTAAAAAGACAGCAATAAGATATAGCTTTTAGTTGTAGACATAAATGAGGCAAGTTGGATGGCCGAACAAGTCTTCTCGAATAAGGATTATAAACATAGGCCCAGTGTATTTAATTTGGCTCATGTGCATTGATATATAAATATAATACAATAAATAATTATAAAATATTGAAGTTTTAGGAAGTAATTAACATGTTAATTTTATCTATGTGTTTTGTTGCAGAGTATCCTGTACATCAACTGCATGGTCAAACTCAGTTTCTTGTTAATTACTTAGCCAGCAGGAAACGTCCAATAGAAGATGATGAGCTACGCAAGCAAGCAATCAAACTTGAGAATGAAATTTCAACAAATAGTATGAGAATTTTATATATATTAACTTATTTCAAACAGCGATTAAGCATTGCCAAATGTACGTTTACAAGATAGATAAAATAGATATTCATACTCAACTCTAAGTAACCAGTGGTAATGGTAATGGTAATGGTAATGGTAATGGTAATGGTAGTGGTAATGGTAATGGTTGGAGACTTGTATAGCGCAAAGTATGTGGTCTCTAAAGCATAGTAAAACACAAAAGAAAACCAAGACACAACAAAGTTATCCTAAGCTACACAGAAACTAAAAGTCAGAAGAGACAGACTATTGCAGAAGAGTCAACACCATTGCGATCGTTTTCCTGCAATTTGAGACCACTGGCAATTAAGCAGCAATTGGCTCTTATGGTGTTGGGTAACTAAATAGCCTATCAAAAATATGAAAAAAGAAAAAATTACAAAGTTTGAAAAAGGTGTGTTTTAAGTCTTAGTTTAAATACTGCAAGGGAGGTTGATTCATGTATGGTACTGGGAAGTGTGTTTCAAAGTTTAGGAGCTGCAACCCGGAAACACCTCTCTCCATATTTAGTGTGGCTCCAAGAGGGTGAAAGTGTTATAGAACTTGATGTAGATCTAAGTGTTCTACTGCATGATGTTAACCAGATCTGAATGAGTTTCCTGAAAATATAAACAACAGAATTAATAAATTAAACTATTTATTTTATTATTAATTTGCTCGTAGTAAAGATTGTACACTTATTATAGCTTAGGTTATTTAAAGCATACTTATCCTCGGTTGAAGCAAAGCTAAGGTAATTCACAAATAGTTATCCCCAAGATTATAGAAAATCTCTAATGGTATCGGAAATGGACTACAAAATGTAGAGCATATATCACAAACACTCTGTATTAGCTTGTTAATAGAGCTTCTGATATACAAAAAGCAATAAAAATAATTCACAAGATTTGTATATTGCACAGTTCCATGTGAGAAATACTCAAAAGAGTAAAAAAGAAAACAGCAAAGGATATACAAATATTTTACCAGCACCACATAAAAGTACCTTAAATTGATTAACTAACTAATATAGAGAATTACCAAAAGAAAAAACAAAAAAATGAAAAAGGAATACAATTGAAAAATAACAATAAAATAAATAAATGAAGAAATACGTTAAATCACAATAGCAAGAAGTCGTCATCCTAAGAGAAGTGTTTTACAAGCGGAGGAACCAAAATTAATGCTACTTTCACCAGCAGTTTAAGACCTCAAAAAAGAGGGCTTACTGTCACATACTATACAAGAGCTTTAACATGTCTTTACATTATGAAGACATTTAATTAGTGTAAATAAAATATAATCGATAGATCAACACAAACCATCATTTTCAAACAATCCAGTGTATTAAAGCTTCCATTAATCAAGGAACTGTGTAATAAATTGGGCTTTTTTACATGATTCTGCTATTGCTAAATTGTTTTTTTTTTATTGTGTATACACAGGAAGTGGTGACATTCCGGAGAGGCCCAAAGAGTTGAAGAAACGGAAGTCATTGATTATGAATAAGCTGAGGAGAAGTGTGTATCATTGGCAACCAATTATGTAAGTGAAAAAAAGTGATTAATATTTCACATCTTATTTTATTTATTTATTTTATTTCATTTCACCCCCCAACAGCAAAAACACCAATAACAGGGAGCATACAATAAATACAATATAAAATCACAGTGATAAAATTGATAAATCACAATAGAAACATTCAAAAATATTATAAACAGTATAAAAATATTCAGAATAAATCAATTTACAATAGTTACTATCACTTTATGATTATTATTACTATTGATTATATTGATATTTTGTTATCTCCTCTTATCAGATACAATGAGATGGTTGCCGTTGCCTATCTGCTGGGACGATTTGCTCCTAATTATGCTGCCCTCTACCGAGTGTTCAATGAGGTTAGTATAGTGGTTTTGAGTACACTTTCTTTACATGATTGATATGCACATTACACGTTGTCAATGACAGGGGGTTTCAAGGGGTAGGGGAAATATAGTTATATAGATTCAAATAGCAAAGTACCATTTCCGGCCATCTACAGGTGCCATAATTATAAATTTTCTTCCCTCTGCCCCAACCATGATGTGGCTGAGGTTGTGTTGACCCCCCATCTGTGAATGTCTCTCCCTGCCTTCCCCTCCTGCCTCATTTCAAATTCCTGGATCCACTACTGAATAACAAGTGTAATAAGACATTCCACTTATATCTACATTAATGATACTCGGCTATATATTGCTTATCTTTGACTGATATTTAATGTAACTTAACTACTTTCAGATAAAAAGGCGAGAACCAGAATTTAGACCAGAAGCTATACTTGACTTTGGATCAGGGTTAGGTACAAGTGTTTGGTATGTTGCTTATATATTGATCGATTTTTTTTTCTGTAGTACATATATTTTGTTAACTAATAATCATTTACTAATAAGTTCATCTTAGCAATAATGATAGGTATTATATGAAGATACTCGGGGTGGATCTAAAGATGGCCAAAAGGGGAGCCCCGAAATGGGCCTGAAAGAGCGACCATCTAGACAACACAACCCTAGGGGTCCGGGGACATAACCTCTGAGGTGTTTTGGGCAATCAATTATTTCTTTTACCTTCCTTCTTTTTTTTCTTTTTTTTTGACTTTCCAAAATGGGGGGTGGGCTGCCTGGCCCCTCCCCCCTCAAATTGCCTGATACAGTACTGATTATTATTATTATTATGGTTTTTAAATATTATTATCATTATCATAATCATTATTATTGCCATCCGTGTTTCCTCCAATCATCATCACTTTTGCAGTGTTCGCGTTGTAATGACTGTTTTTGTTATCATCATCATTTTATTTTTCAGGGCTGCGGAAGCCACCTGGGAAAACCAAGTGAAGGAATACATGTGTGTAGACATCTCTAAATCAATGCATGCTACTGCAGACTCTCTACTACGTGATGGAGATGAAAACAAAGAACGATTCATAAAGACTGTTTTTCAACGACACTTCACTCCACTCTCACCTGACGTAAGTGTCCCACTAATTAATAGGGTTTTTAGGTTTTGAGTTTACAGTTTAACCATGCTCATTTCAAATTTCTGAGATGTGGTTCAAACCTCCACAAATTTTGTGATTATTCTCACCTTTGAGGGATTTAATGATGACAAATGCATTCATGAATCTGATAACAATAACATTAGTTGAACTGAGAGAACACCTTTTCATATATTTATTAATTAGTTAATTTGTTTCTTTCATTCAATATATGATTCATATGAATGTATTCATTCATTTATTTATTCTTTCATTCCTTGTTTATTTAATTCTTTCATTCATATACTCATTTTATTATTCTTTACTTTAAAATTCTTTCATTCAATCTAACTTCATGCAATCTTCAAAATGGATGGTGTTATAGTTAATTATTGCTGGGTTGTAATGAAATAACCAGTACAGAACATGAGTTGCTGTTTTCTACAAACAAATCAACAATATTGAGATTGGCGCCTTCATATCATCCAGTGCCAGGAGTTGCTAACAGCCTTTGATTGATAGATTGATAGACTGATAGATTGATGATTTGATTGATTGGTTAAATGATTGATTGTTAGTTACTGTAGAAAGAGAATAACATTAATTTTATGAAATTTACAGCGAAAATACAACATGACGATGTCAGCATTCTCTTTGCTGGACTTGCCAACTAAATCAGACAGGGTGAACACTATCAGGATGCTTTGGATGAAGACCGATGACTTTCTGCTGATAATAGAGACGGGCTCTCGAGAAGGTTTTGAAACAGTAAACGAAGCCAGGGATCTGATTTTAGGAATCCAGAGGCCTTCTGGAAAAGACAAAAATGTTGAACTGGAAGATGGCTATGTCTTTGCACCTGTAAGTAAACTGCATTTTTGTTGGAGATTGTTCATTAATACTAAAATTGTTTAAAGCCATTTTAAGACTTGAAAGCTTCATTCTCATGTGAATATGGTAATAAAACATAACGTCGCTCACATCACGAACTAACACAATCAAAGTAGATTGTGTTAGTTCGTGAAATCACAGTAGCGCGTCAAAACTAGCGTGTATTGGTTGTCAAGCAATTTTGTATTCTTTACCACACAAAAAGTCCTTAACGACAGCAGCGCGTATTTTGACGCGCTTTTTGGTTTTCACGAACTAACACAATTGAATTTAATTGTTTTAGTTCGTGATGTGAGCATCGATAATATGGCTATTAAAGTTGGTAAGCTCAAAAAAAGTAATGTGGTGGTGATGATGATGATGATAAGCAAATGATGATAATGTTGATTATGATGATGATGTTGATAAGCAGATGATGATGATGATAATGATAAGCAATTGTTGGTGATGTTGATGGTGATGATGATGATGATGATGATAAGCAGATGATGATGATGATGATAAGCAAATAATGATGATGTTGATGATGATGATGATGTTGATAAGCAGATGATGATGATGATAATGATAAGCAAATGTTGATGATGTTGATTAAAAATCAATCAATGATGATGTTTGTGATAACAATGATTAATTACCTTTAAGTTACCTGAATGTATCTATGATGGTGTTACTACTTATGATGTAGTAAATCAATGATACAAGTCTTGGTGGTGATGATGATGATAATGATGAGGGTAAGTAATGATGGCTGATGCCTGAGCCTACTTTACCAAGTTCTTTTCATCTGATTTTATCTCACTGAAGTGTCAACATGACGTAAGCTGTCCAAGAAAGAGTTCAACCGATGTCATCATTCCATGCAATTGTATGCAAGACTACCAGCCTCTCAAGGAACTCAAGTTGAAATTAAACACTATGAAGGAGAGGTTCTCTTATGTGATTCTCCGAAAAGGTCAAAGGAAGAACAGAGTCGGTAAGTTTGTCTGACTAAGGCTTTTAATTACTGTGACTTGGGTAATAATAGATAACACGACCTCCTGTTTTTTCTAATGTAATTTGCTGAATAAACATTGTCTTATACGCAAGAATATACGGTACAATCTGGTTATACTTCAGCAACTACTGTACATGGTGCTTTGCATCTTGGGTAACTTGACAAATGATAATGTATGCAGGCTGTTCACACTGAATTTATTTGGTCAAAGTGATCAGGTACATGATTAGTTTGAACAACATTAAACCAGTGTGAACATAGATTTAGACAGTGATTAAGTTTGCTATAGGCAATGAAAAGAAAAAGAATCTCAATCCGTCTTGGTATGTTATTGACAATAAAGACATCTTGGTTGTTATATGATTATAGAGTTATATATTATATAATATTTATACAATTGGTAAGTGAATGTAGTAGAATCGCATTATGTTAAAATATGATGTTTTATTCAATTTCTGTACTTTACAGATGATCACTGGCCTAGAGTAATTGAGCCTGTTCTGCAACGGTCAAGCCACGTCATCTGCTACCTTTGCTGTCCTAATGGTCAGCTAGAAAGACCAACAATTACAGCAGCAAAGCATGGCAGGTACATCATTATAAGTAGGCCTCTGCCACACACAATGTCTAATTATTATAAGAATTCTAATATAATTATTAGAAAAACGAGATATGGCATTATATTATAGAATTCCAATCCAACTGCCCCAATAATTTTATATTTAAACAAATACTCTCTTGAAAAGTGGCGTACAGTATGTAGGGGGTGCATGTGACGCACATCCCTCTCCTCCCCCATTGAAAATGTTGAAGCAAAAAAATCATGTTCAATAAAATAACCTTATTTTGCGACCTAGCATCTGCCTCACTTAATCATCTTTCCCTAACTCCACCTTCATGCCTCCCCGTAAGCCCTCCATCCCCCATTACAAGACTCCTATATAAGCCACTGATTTAGAAAAATATTTAATTAGAACAACTGTGGTTATAAAAATTCACTCAAGAGATTTAAAATAAATGGAATTGCTCATTTTAATGGATTAGATTAGTCATCACCTTCCATTGAGATGTGACACAAGTCAAAACCAATAGCAATGTATTGTTTTGTACTGTATACTATATAGCATTTTATTTTTTATTTGTAGGGACCTCTACCGTTGTGCACGCCTTTCGAACCATGGAGACCTTCTTCCTATAAGCCATTTGGAATCATCAAATCCTCCTTCATTGACCAATGAGAACAACAAATCAAACTGACCTGTAACACCAGAAGATACTAGAATGGCTCTGATTTGTAACAAAGAAGCCCTTCTTAAGGCTTTTTTAGACTACCCTAGGGGCTGGATCCAGATAGAGCCCTGTGAGGTGTGGGGAAATAGCCCCACCTGCTTTGGTATTTTTAACATTTTAAGGATGAATTTGATGTTTTTTGTACACGGTCTGTTGTTTACAAGGATCTAGTCACCCAATTTTGGACAAGAATAATTATGCTGATGATATCTTGGGGCCCTTAAGGGTCTTAGAGCCCAATCACACTTGTTAAATTAGCCCAGGGCTGCTATAATTACGGCCTAATCAAAAACGACCGTTAGTATTTCATGTCGACTCGGGTCGCACTGCAAATGTTTACACTTCCTCCTTTGCACCGGGATTTGCTTGAAATATTATGGTATAAGATGTCAAAATTGACTGTTATCGCAGCAAACCTTGGCGACCTAGGACGAGCCTTGGTTCGGTTTACCTTCAGATATGAAGATGAGTCGGCCCAGGTGATGCATTGCGGGACCTGAGCCGACTTTAAAGTCTGACAAAATTTAGGTCGGCTCTGGGGTAGCTTAAAAGATATTGATTGTTCTCACATGAAAAAAAGTGGCCCTGAGGCGGCCCTGAGCTGAAGTAAATACAGTATTAATTTACGTTACAAATTCAATGACAGGTTTGATGACATCATATTCATCAGAACCCATAATAAAAGGAGATAATTTTTCTACCCTTGCCATATGTTGGAAGTGTTTTCATAATATTTAAGTTCGTTGAAAAGATTGTTTCTAACATCTTGGCAAATGGGGCAGCAAATTATAAAATGGAATTTATCTTCAACTTCAAAAATTATATATTGTACGTATATAAATTTCAAAATATTTATATAAGTATAGCATTACCATGGCTTAGAGTTTATCTACTTTGTACCATATCTTTATGAAACAATTGAATGACAAGCTATGAATTAAATTGTCATTTACAAATACAAATTGTCTATGAATTTTTTATTTTAACAAGTATGTCTTAATCCCACATGGTAAACGCCATACATACCGTCATTTTGACATCAATATAAACATATAATAATAAATATAATTTTAATATTACAGACACATATATATAATAATTACATATATATAAAGTAGAAAAAACGCGAAGTGGCACCAACCGTAACAATGGAAGAATCGCCAAAAAAAAAACGACTTGGTGATAATAGCGAAAAACGAAAAATAACAGGGTCGAAAAAACGTCCAATTTCGACAAAAACCATGAGCTATACCCTTTGCGTTTTTTCAAAAATTTGGACTATTTTTCACCAAGTCGTTTATTGGTGATTCATCAATTCGTAGGGATTGTAGGTGCCACAAAACACATTGGTATGATCCGTATGTGCCACAGTACACAAAATAACCGAAAAATAACAGGGTCGAAAAATCGTCAAATTTCGACAAAAACCATGAGCTATACCCTTTGCGTTTTTTCAAAATTTGGACTATTTTTCACCTAGTCGTTTTTTGGTGATTCATCAATTCGTAGGGATTGTAGATGTCACAGAACACATTGGTATGATCCGTATGTGCCACAGTACACAAAATAACCGGAAAAAACAGGGTCGAAAAATCGTCCAATTTCGTCAAAACCATAAGCTATACCCTTTGCGTTTTTTCAAAATTTGGACTATTTTTCACCAAGTCGTTTATTGGTGATTCATCAATTCGTAGGGATTGTAGATGCCACAGAACACATTGGTATGATCCGTATGTGCCACAGTACACAAAATAACCAAAAAATAACAGGGTCGAAAAATCGTCCAATTTCGACAAAAACCATGAGCTATACCCTTTGCGTTTTTTCAAAATTTGGACTATTTTTCACCTAGTCGTTTTTTGGTGATTCATCAATTCGTAGGAATTGTAGATGCCACAAAACACATTGGTATGATCCGTATGTGCCACAGTACACAAAATAACCAAAAAAAAACAGGGTCGAAAAATCGTCCAATTTCGACAAAAACCATGAGCTATACCCTTTGCGTTTTTTCAAAATTTGGACTATTTTTTACCAAGTCGTTTATTGGTGATTCATCAATTCGTAGGGATTGTAGATGCCACAGAACACATTGGTATGATCCGTATGTGCCACAGTACACAAAATAACCAAAAAATAACAGGGTCGAAAAATCGTCAAATTTTGACAAAAACCATGAGCTATATATACCCTTTAAGTTTTTCCAAAATTTTGACTATTTTTCACCTAGTCGTTTTTTGGTGATTCATCAATTCGTAGGGATTGTAGGTGCCACAGAACACATTGGTATGATCCGTATGTGCCACAGTACACAAAATAACCGAAAAATAACAGGGTCGAAAAATCGTCAAATTTCGACAAAAACCATGAGCTATACCCTTTGCGTTTTTTCAAAATTTGGACTATTTTTCACCTAGTCGTTTTTTGGTGATTCATCAATTCGTAGGAATTGTAGATGCCACAAAACACATTGGTATGATCCGTATGTGCCACAGTACACAAAATAACCGAAAAATAACAGGGTCGAAAAATCGTCCAATTTTGTCAAAAACCATGAGCTATACCCTTTGCGTTTTTTCATAATTTGGACTATTTTTCACCTAGCCGGTTTTTTGGTGATTCTTCAATTCGTAGAGATTGTAGGTGCCACAGAACACATTGGTATGATCCGTATGTGCCACAGTACACAAAATAACCGAAAAATAACAGGGTCGAAAAATCGTCCAATTTCGTCAAAAACCATGAGCTACACCCTTTGCGTTTTTTCATAATTTGGACTATTTTTCACCTAGTCGTTTTTTGGTGATTCATCAATTCGTAGAGATTGTAGGTGCCACAGAACTCATTGGTATGATCCGTATGTGCCACAGTACACAAAATAACCGAAAAATAACAGGGTCGAAAAATCGTCAAATTTCGTCAAAACCATGAGCTATAGGCCTACCCTTTGCGTTTTTTCAAAATTTGGACTATTTTTCACCTAGTCGTTTTTTGGTGATTCATCAATTCGTAGGGATTGTAGGTGCCACAGAACACATTGGTATGATCCGTATGTGCCACAGTACACAAAATAACCGAAAAATAACAGGGTCGAAAAATCGTCAAATTTCGTCAAAACCATGAGCTATAGGCCACCCTTTGCGTTTTTTTCAAAATTTGGACTATTTTTCACCTAGTCGTTTTTTGGTGATTCATCAATTCGTAGGGATTGTAGGTGCCACAGAACACATTGGTATGAGCCGTATGTGCCACAGTACACAAAATAACCGAAAAATAACAGGGTCGAAAAATCGTCAAATTTCGACAAAAACCATAAGCTATACCCTTTGCGTTTTTTCAAAATTTGGACTATTTTTCACCTAGTCGTTTTTTGGTGATTCATCGATTCGTAGGGATTGTAGGTGCCACAGAACTCATTGGCATGATCCGTATGTGCCACAGTACACAAAATAACCGAAAAATAACAGGGTCGAAAAATCGTCCAATTTCGACAAAAACCATGAGCTATACCCTTTGCGTTTTTTCAAAATTTGGACTATTTTTCACCTAGTCGTTTTTTGGTGATTCATCAATTCGTAGGGATTGTAGGTGCCACAGAACACATTGGTATGATCCGTATGTGCCACAATACACAAAATAACCGAAAAATAACAGGGTCGAAAAATCGTCCAATTTCGTCAAAAACCATGAGCTATACCCTTTGCGTTTTTTCATAATTTGGACTATTTTTCACCTAGTCTTTTTTTGGTGATTCTTCAATTCGTAGAGATTGTAGGTGCCACAGAACACATTGGTATGATCCGTATGTGCCACAGTACACAAGATAACCGAAAAATAACAGGGTCGAATAATCGTCCAATTTCGTCAAAAACCATGAGCTATACCCTTTGCGTTTTTTCAAAATTTGGACTATTTTTCACCTAGTCGTTTTTTGGTGATTCTTCAATTCGTAGGGATTGTAAGTGCCACAGAACTCATTGGTATGATGCGTAGGTGAAACAGAACACAAAATAGCCGAAAGTTAACAGAGTTGAAAAAAAAGTCAAATTTCGACAAAAACCATGAACTATACCCTTTTTATTCTTCAAATTTGGGCTAATTCCACTTTTTTGGTTTTTATTAATTCTTCCATTCGTAGCGTCCGTAGTTCCACAGAACACATTCGTATGATCCATAGGTGCCAGTAATTATATGTATACACAAATTAAGTTTATAAAAATGTAAAACGTTCGGTAGTTAAAACGTAACTTTATTGCATATTATTTTACAAAATTCAGATAGACCCTATAAAATTATACGTTAACAAATTAATTCAATACCATAATACGAACGATGTTTGCCCTACCTGCATAATGGGAGCATACTGAGTGTATACCATAACAAGTCAGTAAGGGAAACATCATCCGTATTATTATTTGACTTTTCACTTGTTACTTGAGCACTTGATTTAATAATTTAAAAAAAAAATGTAATTTAAAAAATAAAACCCATAAAAAATATTATAGTAGTAAGCTTCAACTAATTTGTGGCTGAGTTGACTTGTAGCCGAGTTGATCTGTGGCCGAGTTGACTTGTGGCCGAGTTGGATCGATGCTTTATCCAATTCACTATAAAAATTGGTTAATAAATGTGGACTTTCCTGAACTTGTAGGTCCGTAGGCATTAACAACTCTACAACTACATTACACTGTATTAATATTATTATAAATATTATTATTATTATTATTATTATTATTATTATTATTATTATTATTATTATTATTATTATTATCATTATCATGGTGGTTATTATTATCTGTATATATATATAATATATATATATGTATATTAGTAATTATATGTATATACAAATTAAGTATTTGTACTACATTATAAACATACTGTATACAATATAAAGTATAGTTATGCACGCATAAGCATATCTGGTATATGCGAATATATTAGTATATTTTAAATACAGAATATATATAAATATTGTTCAGCCAATGTATATAACTAACTTGCCAGGATAACATTACTAATTATTACTATTACCATTATTATTATTATTATTACAGTATTGTTATCAGTTAATAATCAGTTAATCAGTCTAATTATTTTGTTATACTGTATTCTCATTGTTATATTCAGCCACTGAATATCCCCGTAGTGGGGATGAATAAAGTCTTATTGTATCCTTGTATTGCATCTTTAAAGTTAGTTTATTAGCTCCACCATACCAAAATTTTGAATTGCTAGAAATTGAATTATAAATGGCGCTGTTTAATTGCAGATTATTTCATCAATTTCTCAAAATGTTTAGTTATTGTATGCGTTTGTTTTTACGGTAAGATTCCCTTCTCCCAAATCGATTAACTTACTTTTGGAGAGTATTTTATTTGTTACGTTTTTGCTTTTGTAAATTTTAAATGAAAAAGCACAAAATATTTGGAGATTTGGCCTTCTCTTAACATCTCCATCAGTCTGGAAAAATTTAATTTTTCAATTAAAAACACAATCACTTTCACACCAACGATTTTAAACGAAACTTTTGCAGCACTATGCAGCCTACAAGAAAAGCACTAGCATACACACTCCTGAACACACTAACACCTTTGTAGAAAAAGCACTACTGCACATAAATAAAAAATACAGTATAGTACTAAGAGGTATCAATTGGTAGTTTAGATGTTCCAGATCTCATGGTGACCTGGTTCAAATTTCCACAACTAATCATTTATACTCCCTTAGAAACAGTAGTAAAAAGTAGGAAAATGCAAAAGAAAACTCGTGGACAAATCTTTTATTCAAATTTCGGACACCACAAATACATATATTTATTAAACAACTGAGATTTGAACTGGATGCGGAATGAATTCATAACCATGTACATTACTTTACAAGAACAGCTTAAATTTGCAAACAGACCAACTGCACATGCTCAGTAAGATAACATGCCCACTAGGCCTACAGACACATGCCTCAATTCTCCCTCCAAACTTACTATGTTACTATGCCTTGTTCAATAGGCCTATTGGCCCAATACATCACCATACTAACCTCCAGTCACGTCTGTATTCAATTCATGATAGCAGTCTTCTTAATTAGATTATTATTACATGTTGATGAACTTAAAATCTTTCTTACAGTGAAAATAAACACATTGAGAAATCTAAAGCATTATTCTGTACAAAACCTACTCCAAAGCAATTATCCACATCTTAACAACAACAAATAAATCAAAAACCGAAAAAGTAAATTTAACTCTGCGAGCTATTCCATGCTGCTATTTTATGTATCATGCATTTGACATAAACTGATTGCTTATGGTGTTATATTGCTCATATGCCTACTATATGAAGGTAAAATGAGAAAAAAACTAAAAATCATTTGGTCATTTAACAACTTATAAAAGATCAACTTAGTTAAACTTAGTAAGGGAGGGTAGTATTACTGTACATTAAAAGCATGTTACTCCAGAGGGCAGAAAACTAGTAACCAATGCTTCCAAAAATAGATAATAATAATAATTTGCAACATGCATAATAAGCGGCATTAAAGCACCTATATATAGTGACAGATATATAATATGGTTAACAAAAACAACTAAATAACAACAACAATGATTAATAAATGCAATAAGGAAATCGGTTTATATTCTCAAGGACACATTCAGTGGCAGTTAATTTTTCCCGACTAACAGCGTTCAAGATGAAAAGTTTACTCCAGGACTACACTAATAGAATCTGTCAACAAACATTTGTTTGGGCAAAAAATATCTGTATTGTATGCCCAGCTTCAGACATATAATGAAATAAATTGTATGTCTGTCCTTTACCTGTAGGAAGTTGGACAATGTTTGACATCAAACATTGTCTGCTAGGACTGACACTGCATGCCTGGCTGTACATTATTATTTGTTGTTAAATTTCAACTACTGTAAACCTTTAAAAATATGAGTACAACTACAAATTACCATATCCTTCTATTTGAAAACTACAAATGTTGAAGAAATTATTATTTGTAGTTGAATTGTCTGAAAATGCGACTCATAGTGCGTTTGTAGTCATCATCTAGGACGTCTGCATAGCTTGCATTGCTTTGTTGTCCCTGTAAATGACGAGCTCATGAATTGTGGCTGCATGCTTGATTAGTTGCCAGGCTGTTGGTGTGATTTCGTCGCAAATGCTACACTGCCAGTCATCAGGTTCTGCAAAATAAAAGTTGAATGCTGGATACAAGCACCCACAAGTTGGCATATTTTATTTGGAGGAAGGATGCCACATGAACATTATATCAATGAGTGGCAAATGGCCTAAAGGTCTATTTTTATGTGGGATGATAAAACTATGTGTCAACAAAAAAAAATTTGGTCAATAAGGAATGAATGTGAATGGTATATAATGTGCAAACATGTAAACAGATTAATTTGCATAATTATACACTGTTCTATAATTTTTTTATTTTTAATTTTGGAGATGAAAACTAATTGAAATAAATAATTTATTCTCAATACCAAACCAACATATCTCAAAAGAGTATGGAATCGATAAGAAGACCTTCAATATAAGTTACATGTAATCAAGTTGATACACAAAGCCTGTTTGATCCTAAATAGGTCAGTCAATGTGAAGGGTACAGCAGTCTTAGGGGTAGAAGGATGAGAAATATAACAGAATGTAATTTTACTTACCATCACCTTCTTCTTTCTTTCTTTTGGCTGGCGGTCCTGAAGTTGGATGAATTGGGAGTAATGTCGGATCAACATATCCACTAAATAAGGAAAAAAATCCAGATTTGTCACTACATTGATTTAGTACTCATCATGATCAATTTGCCAAAATGTTTATGAATATTTAATATTAACTCTTTAAAATAAGTTTCATATAATTACAATGTAATTAAAAAATTTACATAGATTTAAATTTATTTTATTTGTTATAAAACAATTATTTTCTTGTTACTTTATTAGCATTACAAAGAGCAAACAACTAGATCAAAAATAAAATAATAATTTGCCTATCAAAATAACATTATTTTGATTGCCATATTCCTAGTGTATGGTCTAAAAGCACATTTCGGAAAATACTAAGCCGTAAAAATTCGCCCGGTGAACCCTATTAAGGATTTTTTATTCTGGGCCTTCGACCAAGGCTCCAGTCGGTCCCTTGCGTAGGACCCCTCTGTTGGGCATATAGGACTTCTTGTCTGCAAATTTCTTTAGACCCCCCCCCCACTTCAATACTCCTAGATATTCCACTGGCATCAACCCACTTTCTAAAGTAATAAGTTCAATTACATACGTGTATTTCGCTTCATCTTGCACTCGTTTGAATCCTTTTGGTCGCTCTCTGTCTGGTTCATTTGCAATATGTAAATCTGAAAAAAAGTTAATTTACATCATTTAATCATTATATCATACCCATCCTCTTTGCATGAAACACTACAATTGTTATCACTATCACCATCTTCATTGGTATCATAACCATTATCATAACACCCCTATCAGCATCATCACCATTATCATAACACCCTTATCAGCACCACCACCATCATAACAACACCCCTATCAATATCATCACCATTATCATAACACCCCTATCAGCATCATCACCATTATCATAACACCCCTATCAGCATCATCACCATTATCATAACACCCCTATCAATATCATCACCATTATCATAACATTCTTATCAGCATTACCACCATTATCATAACACCCCTATCAGTATTATTATAATACCCCTATCAGCATTATCTTCATTGTTATATCCTTACCAGTATCATCACTATTAGCATCATCTGCATCAACAGACATCACTATCAGCATGAATATCACTGCTAACAGTATCATTATTCATATCAGCCACATTAAGATCCTTAACTTAATTTCAGCATCACTATTGTTATAAAATGAATTAATTTATTAATAATATAAAAACATAGAGTACCTAGTGGCTGACTTGCAAGGATTCTTCCATGCTCCTTTTGTTTTGCTGCCATAGCATCATCTCCCTTAGTAAACTGAACAAAGCCAAACCCTTTGTGTAATGAGATACCAGTGATCTTTCCATACTGACTGAAGATGTGCTCAATGTTCTGCCTGGTCACCAGGCCTGTGTTCAAATTGCCAATGAATAACCTTGAGGCCAGGTCATTAGGGTGCGTACTGTTTGTCAGGTTGCCAGGGGAATTTCGATCGATGATGTTCTGAAGCGCCCCCATCATGCCTCCAAGTCGTCCGATACCATTACTAATAATAAACAAAAGAAATTTCATGGATATGGTTCACACTTGTAATCTCCACTCTCGCTGATGACTAGTGGCAGTGGGAACGACTTTTTACTACTTAACTGTGATTTTCAATTGGGGGGGGGGGAAGACAGGGGGAGTGAGTATTTTTTTTAGGTGCATACACACTCCTAGATACACAACTACTGGTACAATTTGAACCCGGGACATGGCTGTGGAAGGCAAGCATTTTACAACCAAGTTACAGCTCCAGTTAATTTTTTGTTTTGTTACTGTATTTCAGGAGCATAACACTGCAAGCACATAAATATTACTGGTATTAAAATAAATTAATGAGTATTCCAACTACATCTGCATTAGCACTACAGATCCTGATGCAGAATAACTTTATCCAAGAGGCATGATGTTAAGTGGCAATCATAGCTTATAATGGCTTGGGGTGGGGTGGGATGGGGTGGGGGGTAATACATAATGTTCTGCGGGAGGCACGACTATCTGAGGGGTGTGTTCTCTTACCTATATGATTTCACACTTGGTTGAAATCTTTGTCAGTACGAGGCAGGGGAGCATAAATGCCTGTTGCGCTACACGAAGGCAGACTCAGAAATTCCCTGACGAGGCATCCAAGCTCCCCGATAGGGGTCCACGTTCCCCCGTCAGGGATGCTTAGCACCAACCACCCCCGCCCGGGAAAAATTTTTTTTTTCAATAGATAATAAAATTTTGTGTTATGGGATTCTATATTTAAAAAGGATGTTGGGGGTACCGACCCCCTAACGGAGGTAACAGCCCCTGGAGGGGAAGAGCTGGCGCACCGCTCGAGCCCATACGGCCGCTATGCTGTAGTATACAACACCTCACACATATGGTAGCACTGCTCGCACTAAACTGTTTTTAATCCATAACATTTTGACAGCTTAGTAAGGCATGTTTGAATTGTAGTTTTGGTGCTTGAGATTTTTTCTTTCTTAAAGATCCCCAATGGGTCCCCGACAGAGGGTCCTTTTCTCCTTTGGACCCCCTGCTAACGCTTGTTCAACATTATGGGCGAAGTACAGAAATGACACAAAGTAAGTTTGATATGTATACCTACCCCATTGCTTGAGGGGAAACACTTGGGGCAGATGCATGTTCCATCCTAATAGTAATAATATAAAAATGCAATATTATGGAACATGTACATCTTTATTCAATCCAAATCCAACATTGGCATCATGTGACATCATTGCTCCAATCATCAGACCATATGACTAAAATTTGAATTTGCAGCTTTGTAGACACAAATAAGGTGCTGATAATTTTAGCATAAAGCCAAGTCATTTAACGTATTCAGCAGTACAGTATATACAAAAAAAAACCCCAACAATCATACAAATACAAATACAGAATAATAAAATTAATAATTACAATAATTATTTTAACATGGTACATACTACACTTCTAATTTGAGACAATAAAAAAAAGACAAATACAAATAGACCAACTTTTCTGTACAGGAACTTTTATTATTAATGGCAATACTGTATTCACTGAACATGGAAAGAACTTACACATTTACTACGATATGATGAATTCATTAAAATGCTTCATACACAATAAATATCTAGATAAACAAATGGTCCAGAATAAAAGAGATAAGCAAGTGGAAGATTGAAAACACAAAATGGGAAAGCATTGCCAAGATTCTTTGCCTAATTAGCATATGTATATATTTACAGTGAGAGCAATGTAAGTGTACTTAACTAATTTAAGGTTGGTAGATGTATTATTGTTCAACTCTGATAAACATTGCATGAAAATGATTTTAAATATGAGACATCATAACATCACTACATGTTCTTCTTTGGGTCACAATTTACTAGAATTAATTGATATAACTACAAATCAAACAGCATCATGCATTTCAGCACCTGCTCTTTGAATTATCATCATATAACAACAAAGAATTTTAAGCTAGATTTATGGAGATATAATATACTTACTGTATATATATAAAGCTAGGGCGAATTACAAATGAACACAGGACTTACGGACAACTAATTTGGTTAACAGATGAATAGTACAAAACAATTCTTGAAGCTATTTACATTCAAAGGACTTCTGTATAGCGTAGCATTTAAGTCACGTCTTATTAATCGTATAGAAAATCATTCTTTTTCACCTATTTAACATCCTTGTCCACTCCCATGGTCCCATTCCACCCCTCCCTCTCTTGCATTAAACAATCCTTTCAAATATTCCCTCAATTTAATCAGCATCTGTCCTATGTTTTGTAAAGCAAGGTGTAAAATAGTCTTAAAGAAACAAGTGATTGGAGTGGGTGAATCTTCTTGCTCTTGGATGATTCAAGGTTGTTAACCTGTAAAAAAAAGACATCAAATATTTAAATAAACTTAGAAAATCATTTGTATCTCTTACAAAAATGTAAAGGCTAAAGGAAACAGTCAGATAAATCTTAATCATTCAGAATCTAACTGATATATATAGTTGGATCAACCATGAGAAATAACTTAAGTCTAAAACTTTAATGCTACAAAATGACAAGGGGATTAGGTCACCATATTAATGTTTCAAGGTAAAAAATTCTACTATTAAAGCAAGACTATCTTTATACCATGTTTCGCGAAATTATTTTTTTAAAAATCATCAGAGGCAGGCACAAAAAACATAGCTTGGTTCTACCACAGGCATTTTCACTTTGCTTGTGTATGCAAACAATTTCTGTTTACTTGATTGCAGTGGCAGTGCTACATAATCGTAGATTCTAAAATCGATTAAATAAGCATTTAAAATCCTTAAATTGTCATACTTTCGGGGGATTCGCCCCCTAGATGCGACATCTGACCATGCCAACTTTGCTCTCGGAGGAGGTATTAGTTCCCCTGTAGGGGACCTTGATCCCTTTGTTGGGGATATTCTAATGCCGCCATTGCTTGATTCTGTTAACATCAACACCTACAAACCTTCTATACATTTTAATCCGTTGGCTTCTCCATGAATATCTGGATGTCGTGGGTTTTGTGAGCATGTTTGATTAGTTGCCATGGTGACTGTACTTTGGCCTTGCAAATACTGCACTGCCACTGAGATGGTTCTGTATAATAGAGAAAGAAAATGGCTTCCTTACTTATATTATCTGTTAACATGAAGCCAGACAAATAACCTGAATGTTGATGGCACACCGCAATACGATGCTCCTGTCAGTTCCTTATCTTTACCTTAAATTTTGAAAAATAAACACAATAGAACCAACGTCCTATTACATTATTCTATACTCTGCTATTCAGGCATATGGATTTGTAAAAATTACGATTACCCGGCAACTGAAGCAAGAGCACGTATCCAGATGGCATTGCAAAAATCATTTGTATTCTGCTAAAAAAAAAAAAAATTTAATACTAATTCTTAGACAACTATTATCATTATAGTCACTGTGTCTTTAATTTATGGACAACAGGTTTGCTTTAAATTAAAGGAATATTCAATAAAATATATATTTTTCCAAAATAAGTTTGCATTGTAATAATTACTAAATATGATGGTATTATATCATATCAATTTTACAAATTATATAGTGTACCAGTACAACAACATATACTATAACTATACTGTAATTAACATCTATTCAAGCCTATCTTTTAATCTACTTCAAAAAAATAAAAAATCATAAAAATAGAAATAAAAATAACCACCTGCTTGAGTGGTAATCATTGTAATACATACCGTCTCCTTCTTTTTCTTCGGTTTTAATATTTGTGGAATCTATAAAGGTTTTCATCCTCTTTCTTGTAGAACCATTTGGACCAGACCCACTACTAGGGTGCACTGGGATCTGTTTTGGGTCCACATACCCACTATATAAAAAAACAGCGGCAAAAAAAAAGAGACAGGAGCGTGGATCAGATGTGTTGTTTATCCGCAATGTACATTTATTCAACACAAATAAAATATAACCTATATTGGTGAGGTCGACAAGAAATGGTAGTCAGTGCCTACAAGGATCTGGTCTAGGTAATGTTTAGGGTGGGGCTGCAAAGAGGTGGCTAAGATGCTTGCCTTCCAATCCAGGGTCCTGCCAAAACCAGGATTTTTTTTCATGTATAAAACTGCTCTACTCCCCAAGCCTTGTGATAAGGCTTAGCTTGTAGATGACCTCTTCCATCCTGTAAGTGGCTAATCACTCAGTGTTGGCTGAGAAAATTTAGAAAATTAAGGAGGACAACAGACCACGCACAAGGCCTGAATCAAATCGATGTAAAATGGGGCTGACATGCATTTAAAGTCTCAAAATATTGGTCATAAAGATGAAATGATAGAATGAAAGTTTTTTTTATCTGACAGATTTTTTTGATCAAATTCTTACCCAAAGCAGTCTCCCTGGACCCTCTTGAATCCTTTTGGTCGGTTCTTGTCTGGATCGCTGGCTATTCTGAGATCTGGATAGAAAAAAATATTGTATAGAAAAAGAAATTCTAGTAAGGAATTGAAATATTTAGGCAAAAGGCAGGGTACAATTTCTATATTCTTATCATCATCATTTCCAGTTAGAAATAGTATTTTATTGCTACCAATAGGTTTACCATTTCAAAATTATAAAATACTGTACAAATAATGATCACAATGTTAGAATAGCATGAGGCATAGGCAAAAGAACATGTCAAAACAGTCTTACCTAAAGGTTGGTATGCCATCACTCTTCCCTGTTCTTCCATTACTGCACTCTTAGCACTGTGCTCATTGCTGAACTGAATAAACCCAAAACCATTGTGAAGGGAGATGCCTAAAATCTGTCCATATTTACGGAACACTTGTTCTACCTCAGGCCTCTTCACAAATCCCGTGTTCAGGTTTCCTAGGAACACTCTGGAGGCCTTTGATTTTGGGTCATTGCTATTGGTTATGTTGTTGAGGTTAGCACCACCACCTCCCCCACCGCCGCCACCACCCATCATTCCTCCACCACTAGGATAATTGTGCATTGGTCCTGGACCAGGTCCCATTCCGTAGCCTCCGTTGTATCCCATGCCGCCGTAATGATGGCCACCAGGGCCTCCGCTGTATCCTCCACGATTCATGATACTAAAAATAAACAATAATTATACAGTATTGTTTAATAAACAAAAAAGGTAAATTTTAACCTGAGAGGATTCAAACTAGATCTATGATTTAGTTGAGTCGCTCATTATTTGGTGCTTTGCAAAGTTTTCTGTTGCTCTCGATGGCATTCTCCCCCGCCCTTTATGGACATTTCTTGATCCACCCCTGAAACTTCCCATTTTGTCTATAATAAAATAATTAAAATGTTGAAATTAAAAATAGCATTTAAGCCGTTTGTATTTTTTATATTCCTTGTATAACAGAGGTGTGCAAATATAAACTGCAAATATGGACCAACTGAGGTATGGGAAATCACCTAGAATCCCAGTGGGGTCCAGAGTCAGATTTTGATATTGTATGGGTTTTCATAGATATATTGCAAATTAATTATATTTTTACTATTTATCATATTTGTCATTAAACTTTGCTGATCTAAAAACGTAATGTCCCATTCTATCGATTGAGACAGGGCAATGCAAACATATCGCCTTAACATTCAGGGGCACAACCAGGGTAAAATTTGAGGGAGGGTCAAGCCTTGCGAGTGCAACTAGGTTGGGGCCAGGGGCGTCAAGGGACCTCGGTCGGTTGGGCCTGGAAAATTTTATAATTTCTATAAAATCTCTAACAAATAAAATAAGAATGAAAGCAATTTGTAAACAAGAAAATAAATTTGTTGTGAGATCTCACTCTTCCACCAACAAAGAGTAATGATTTTATAATCATGAACCTCCAATGAAGGCCTATTGTTAACTAAGTCATATGCTGGCAAATTGTTCTATTACAGTACCTACTGCAACCATTTTCTTGGACGTGAAAAGCGTATGCCTACTTATCTTATTTGCACCTTCACATTACTTTCTTTAATAGAATACTGTAATATAATACAATATTAGTTTGACACAGCTATACGGTGCACCATCAAAGTGTCGGTTTGACTTGTTAGCATATGATTGTATTTTTTGTCAAAAGATATTACAAATTTTAAGCAGGTCACTTACTGTACGGGAGGTGTGGTGGCTTACAAGCGGTATCAAATGCACTTAGATTATAAGAACAACTGGGACTATAAACTAGTGAGACTGGACGCTAAAAGTAAGTGATCGCACGGGAGGTGGTTGACTGTAACAAAATGTACTTTACACACAACATTCAAGATTTCTAGAAGACACGGCGTGTGTTCCGAGTCCGAGGCAAGGGTCACTCAGTTACTCTGTAATACATTTCATATATTATATTTTTTACTACTATAATCAGGATATTTTAAAAAATTTCGATTAAATTGAGGAGGGTCAGGACACCCTTGACACACCCAGTGGCGGATCTAGGATTTAGCAATGGGGGTAGGGGGTGGATAATACGATTTGCGAAGCACCAAGCTGGAGGGGGGGGGGTTTGATAAGGGCGCATGATGTGTTTTTAAAGGTAAGGGGGACATTTCGTGAGTCCACACCCACCTCAGGCCCACCAATTTTGTTAAAACCTAGGTCATTTATGCAATTCATTTGAACAATTTTCAGGCATCTTCTTGACTTATGAAATTATGACATTGCGGATGAGTGAGGGGACTAACCCCACCCCCTCAACAATACTTGGGGATGTGTCCCCTGTCCCCCCTTGATCATGGGTTTTGGGAGAGGCATCCCCTTCCCTTCGAGATTTTTTGGAATTAGTAGACATCTAGACCATATTGGATGACATCTGAAAAGAAGTTAAGCTTAAAATAGAAAGTGTATGTTATATGACAGTAGCCTACTACATGTGTAACATGTATAATGTACATGAGAAACACACACACAAGACGAGTGACCATATTTATTTTTTGAGGTCACCGAAGTGGAGTGGCTTGCCACCCTATTCACCCCCTAGGTCCGCCACTGCCCCCTCGACTCTGGTTTCACATCCACCTCAGTTGGGTTTGGCTGATTTGACATGATTCAGCGTATTCGCTGCACGTTACAGTAATTGCTTACATTGCCTAGATAGGTCCCAGGTAGGTATAGATCTGATCTCTTATACACATCTAGGTGTGCAAATATAAACTGCAAATATGGACCAACTGAGGTATGGGAAATCACCTAGAATCCCAGTGGGGTCCAGAGTCAGATTTTGATATTGTATGGGTTTTCATAGATATATTGCAAATTAATTATATTTTTACTATTTATCATATTTGTCATTAAACTTTGCTGATCTAAAAACGTAATGTCCCATTCTATCGATTGAGACAGGGCAATGCAAACATATCGCCTTAACATTCAGGGGCACAACCAGGGTAAAATTTGAGGGAGGGTCAAGCCTTGCGAGTGCAACTAGGTTGGGGCCAGGGGCGTCAAGGGACCTCGGTCGGTTGGGCCTGGAAAATTTTATAATTTCTAGGAAGGAACTGGAATGACAATTTATTATTGTGTATTTATGCCTATAATTTCTATTTTCATTTTTCTAATTACACAGGCAGACACGACCAACGTACGTTTTATTCCCAAAATAGTATGATTTATTCTCGTTATATTTCACATTTGGCATACACAATCGTAGAGAAAAGACGACGTTACTATCATAAACATGTAACAATGGTTTTTGTAAATTTAAATCACGCTCAACTTTACACACAAAGCGTGTACGAGACATTTTACTAAAGGCTATTTTCTTAAATTACTGTGTAAATCGCCTATCTTCATGCGTTTGTTTTGGTTCGAATACCCACTATAGCTGAACAGCGTCGATCGCTAATTCGGTCTATTGGATAATCACGTGGCTCATAGAAACTGTCAATTTTGGGCCATTTTATGCCTTTCAGCAATGTATTAGAAAAATGTGAAGCATTTTAAAAACTTTTTAAAGTCAAAATAACTTGCCAAAGTCGTTGTGAATGTTAATGCCCATATGCATGTGTCAGTGATGGTATTTGCAAGGGTCAGAGAGGGATTCCTCCCCCCCCCCCCAAATCATCCAACGCCACCACAAGGTCGGAACAAAACTAATAATTTGCCTATCCAAATACAGCTAATCTTTAATATTGTGGTCCCACTCCAAAAGCACAATTTGGGCCATACTAGGCACATGTGTGTAATTTTTGATTATTATATATTTATATCCTATAGGTACACTACATATTATGAACTGAACTCGATATATTTATTATAAATATGCTTATGACATTTTACCTGATAGGCCCAATTAATTTTTGGCCGACAGCCGAATTGTTAATCAAGTTTGATTTACAGAACAAGACAAAAGAATCATTAATAAATTGCTATTTATTAAAAAAAATACAGTGATCATAACATTAGAATGTTTTCTAAATTCCAGCTGGCCCCAACATTCTGGTGGCGCCAACTCCATACAGATGTTCTCCATTGTAAATGTTATACTGCTATTAATGTTTCACTGCTTTCAATCAACTTTCGACAAACTGGGTTTCGGCAAAGTGGATTTCTGGCCCGAATCCCACAAAAAGCCATAAAAACTCTCCTGTGAACCCTACCAGTGATTTTTTTTTTATTCCAGAGCCCTGACTAAGGCGGACATCATAATCCCATCGGCAAATTTCTGGATCCACAGCTGGTCACAGGGGAGACAGTTGTAATTTTTTATTACTGATTAAATTTCAATATTTACAACTTTATTATACAGTATAATGTTATTACAGAAAATAGTAAATTTTATATTCAGTACATCATATTGAAGATGACCAAGGAACCACCATGTATCGTGTAATGTGGTCAGTATTGGCATAGACTTTTGTTAGAAGTACAATACTATCGTATATTGCATCTTTACATGGTCTTCAACAGAACATGCAAAAATGAAGTCAACAGTTGCACAACCTCTCACTCAGGATTTACCAGTTAATGTTGTTTGGTTGTCATTTGATGCCTGTGGTTACATAGGCTCTGTCCACATGAAAAACTGTTGTATGCCCATATATGGTCATGATGTGATGTCATCACAGCCATATTTAGGCATATCACATGCTTTTGTCAAATAAAATTTGACAGTGAGGGCTTCTACGGTACATAAAATCCAACTGCTTACTTTGTATTAACATTTTTAGCTTTAAAAAGAGTAGTTCAATTTTCTTGTCAATTTTATGGGAGTATCCTTTAATACAATTAATGTTTTTATAGGTGTAACAACACAGAAATGCTGTTGTCTTTAACTAGATTTTATTTTCATGTTATTTCTGGTTATTTCACATCCAAAAAATACTCTCAAAAATATCTTAAAGCAACAAATACAAAATAAATATATAATTAAAAAACATAGAAACATAAAACAATATACATAGGCATTCTAAAAAATTTGTGCGGGTATAAAATAATAAATGTTGCACAAAAACAATGGTCTCAATAATTGGATTTAAAAAACTGTAACAGCAACAAAATATCAATAATTCAAATATAGAAAATGCAAAAAAAATAAAAGCGATGTCAATTTTAAAATTCATTTGAAAAAAGGGTGACGGGTCTCAAAAAATCTCAATAAAAATAAACTACTCACCAAATAGAAAAATACTTGTGATGACAAGGAAAAAATCGAAGAAAAACTCTTGAAATAAACGAACGTTGAAAAAACTGTCGGTTCAAAAACTGAAAAAATAAAAAAAATGGGACAACATTAAATAAAATTTAAAAAAAAGACTTGGGCCATGTTTTGTTGCTTTTCATTTATTCTTCATGTGATTTTCTCATTTTGACATCATTGTTGTATGTATGTGGTTCAAATAACATGCAAGAGCACATAAAAATTCTCCATTAATAAAAATAATCCCCAATAAATAAAACAAGCCTAAATAAAATCCTTGATTTAAAATAATATACTGCATAATTTAATGCTACTGTATTCCACAAATAGCAGAATCACCAGATTTTGGAGCATAATGAATACATTAGAAGCCTGTGAATTGATCAAGAGCCTGAAATATTTAAACAAAAAAAACAATCAAATTTTACACAAAAAAAAGGTCCGCCCATAAAAATATAATAAAAAATACATTTTCTGTCACTGGTCGTGTGGTACAGTATGTTAATACAGTACTGAAATTATTTAATAGAACCTAGCCCAAGCCAAAACCTATCTAAAAATAACAATAAAAAACTGAAAGTGTACCAAGAACTACCTACTACTGTACTACTAGGCCTAACTAAAGCAAGACTAAGTTAAGCTAATCAAACTAGGTTACGCCCTCCCTAGCTAGCCTAGCCCAGAAAAAGAGAAGAGGCCTAAAAATAAAAAGGGGATATGCTATTCAAATATTAAATTCACAGAAACATTAAGCGTTTCACCAAAAAGTAAATACCTAAGAAAAACCTCAATTCTGGATTGGAACTGACGAACATTAAGGTTTTAAAATTGACAAACTTCGGTACCCACGCCTAGCCTAGCCTTGGTCACCACTACTACGCATCCATTCACGACGCCATGCATGGCATGGCTCAGTCCAACCTCGCCAACCAAGAGAACAAGACATCGACTATACGATCGAACAATTGTTCTGTTGTAGGCAATAACAAATAAACAAATACACATCAACAATGCTACACAACTATCTTCAGCACTAAAATAACTTTAAACAGCTAAAAATAACAATAATGAATAAATAAATACAACAACAAAAACCTTAAAAAAATTGTGACGACCAGCACGCTTTCCGTAATCTACTAAATCGACGCCTTTTTCTTCACACGTGACCAAAGATGCTGGAATGTGCCCGCCTGGTGGCGGTATTTATATTTTCTTTTCTCTCCGCAGTAGACATTTTACACCACACTGGATTGCTGTACTGTACTGTACTTTTAATTTTAATAATAAAGGATTTGAACGAACCTTCTATTAAGAAGTGTGCCACTGATGAAAAAGTGTATTTCTCGGGGTATTTCCTGGGTTTTCTTTAGCATTCTTTTATTTATGGTGATTTTTTAAAAAGATTTTACTACTACAGTATTATTATTATATTGCACAGTATTATCCCTCCCCCCCCGCCCAAAAAAAAAATTTTCTCATAGATAGGCACCAATACATAAAAAATCAATTAACATCAAGAAAATTCATAAAAATATAAAATACTAGGATATAAAATATTCATGTGAAAACTGCTGTGTATATAATATCGTCGGCGGCTAAATAAACACCCCGGGGAGCATTGTTAAGAAGCGTTTTTGAGTGGGCATTTATTTTTGGGTGTAAAACGGATGCATATGAGGGGGTGTTTATTCGAAGGAGACGTTTTTTATTTGTTGGGTGTACTATGGACGCATTATATAATACAGTAGGCCTATGTATTAATCGAATGCTACTTACAACACATAATTACGGTGTCAAAATGTGTAATGCGTGATCCTAACCAGGTAAGAAAAATGCAATGTTTACTGGAGCACTGAACATTTGTAAATGTATTGAGAATGATGTTGCTTCCATTAGTTTTGTATACAGTCATTTAGGGGGTGTTTATTCCAGGAAGAAACAAACACCAGGTGCAGATCCAGCGGGAGACCATGAGGGCCAAGCCGAAAAAATAAAAAAGAGGGAGAAAATTTTGAGGAAAGAGGGAAACAGGGAGTGCACCAATGAGTTCAGTGGCGATGCAGTACTGGGTGAAGGGAGAACTCGATTATTTACAGCAACCATGTTGGTGCAGGGCGTTCCTATTTGAATAATTTATTGTTTTGTGTAATTCTGTATAACTGTAAAGCTAAATTTATGCTTTGATGGTCATTTTATATTTTTATACTTTATATCTTTGTAACAGGAAGACAATTTTCATGACTGTAATGATTTCATGACAATAAGATTTATTTTGATTCTGACTCATTGAGATATGATGATGATGATATAGCCATCTTTGAGGTAGCTAAGTTAAACTTCGCCTTCACCAACTTAAGTGGATGTTTTTTTGTAGTTCAACTTTAGTTTCGACTGGCACCATCGTCATCGCTCGTCATTGTTATTGTCATCAATCATTCAATTCCACCTCATCATATACATCATCACTTTCATCATCAAAATTAATGGAGAGTTGCCGTCCCGGGTCGCCGTTGTCAATAAGTGGCGTACCTAAAGTCTTAAAATTGGGATGGGAAGCGAAGGTGAAATGGGGGCTCGATAATTAGGTGAGGGGATGTTAGCTTGTAAAATAAGGTGAATTTTAACTACTAGACCGTGATTTTTTGGGAAAAACTAGGGAGGGGGGAAGAGACTTTTGGGAAGTGCACCCCACCCCCAACCCCCAGATACTCAACTGCCGTCAATATTCGCATTACTGTACTGTATTTATGACGCCAACATATTTTGTTCATATAGTTATATTTTCCTCTTGAATTACAACTTGTAAATGTTGCCAGTAAAACATATTATCACACATTTCACTTTATATCGAAAAATAAATGTTCTAAATACTACCCTACATAATTAACAATATAATAAACCTTTTTTTTCTTATAATTTTTCTTTACATCTAAATATACATTTACATATCGCAAGATATGGCTGGAATTTTAATCTGCATTCAGAAACTTTTACATGATCGATTAGCTACCATGGCGACAAGTATTGTCCCGCTTCTCAATACCACAGCATGCCTCCATAAAATGTAATAATTATTCTTTTCATCCACCCAACAAAAGCATCAACCAATTGTACTCAAAACATGACATAGAAAGAAAATGTCTACATAAATAACTGGGGTAAATCTTGCATTTGTATGGAAAGGTTCACTATGTTTTTTTTAAAGGTGTTGAAACAGTGTGACAGTTGCTAGACTACTGATAAAACTGGAGTTTGTTAGAACACAGACATGTGCAGTGATATATCAAGAAATGTAAAACGAGGGGGAAACGAGGACGTGTGTACATGGGATACACAGGTTTATGAACACTGAATATAGAAGACAGTTGTGTACAATGTTAGAACTTAGAAATGTTAAAACACAAGTGCACAGATACGTGTCTGAGCACTGGTTTGGAACAATTACATAACACTGGTGTCAGAACCCTAGTGTTAAGTGCAAGGGCACAAATGTAAGAACATGTTTGCAAACACTTGTGCAAGAACATACGTATAATAATACAGATGTTAAAAGCTACTTGAACACATGTCAAAAAAACAAGTGCCATACTACATGAGTATAGAGCACCTCTTTTAAAACATTGGCACATTAACACTGGTGTTCAAAACAGGTGTAAACACTGGGTTAAAAACAAGGCTGCATTTTGCATGGTATTTAGCAATTTTTTTCATAGCATCCTCAGTAACGTATTCACAACTGATCTTAGAAATAAATACTTAGATAACTAATCTTATAGGTATATAGATATTGATCCTTTTCATTATAGTATGCATAAACAGATTGTGAATATTGATAATCTGTATAAGCTACATTTGTTAAGATTACAACTTTTGATTAAAGATTAGGATATCTAATCCAGATAAGATTAACATGGAGTAGCTAAATACAAAGAACAGGTTATTGCCTATTAATAAAGATTACCAAAGTATTAGATGTTTAATTCAATCTTGTTCCTAAAGATCTGGAATCACATACAGTGAATAGTTTACAGTATATATTCATGTATTATTACACAAGATTATTAAGATTACACAGGTTTATTTCCAACACATTAGCTAATACCTTATTTTATCAGCAAGAAAATATTTGAAATATATACCAGAAAATATACAAGGGAAGTGGTTTATTCACTCTTTAGATAAGCATTATTTTGAGCTAATTTAATTCTAATAAAAGCCAATAATTATATGACATACATTTTAACCCATTACCAATAAAAAATAAGTATAAAGCAAAAGACCACAATTATCTGCAAGTCTGTTGGTATTTGGAAATAATTTAATCAAAATTCTTTTATTTCCAACTTGACTTTGAAATGTCAATAATTGGGTTTTAATCTGCAATAATGCATCTAAAAATAATTGATACAAAGTAAGAATAAAAACTGTGATTAAATTTCAATTAAGAAGATACCTACTATCCTTCAAGAACCAAATAAGGTGCTCTTGCTTTTCTCTTAAAGACGCATTTTCTTACCGGTACTGTATATTGTTTAACTGGTTACAGATATTTGGCGTTGTTATACAAAGCATCTGAATACAAACCTTAAGATTAACAGGATATTTTTCTTTGTAGACAAATTACAACATACATGATCAATGGTATACTTATTTTGCTAAACAAACCAAAAGCTGAACCAATTCCACCCTCTCTTTTGTAGGCCAGGATTAAGTAGAAATTGTTAATCAATGAAAATATTCTGCCTATTGTAAGTTGAATTTATTAAAAATATAATAAATAAGCTTTTCATAACTACAATGATATATCTTATAAATAATATATTTCTGATTATAATTTCAAGCAAATTTAGCAGAGATAGTAAAGGATAGTTACACCACATCAATTCGACAATAAAATAACACTTGTATTAAAATGTAATATTATTCAAACACATTTTAGATGTTATCACATTACCTATTATTATTTTTTCTGATGGTAATCATGATCAAACTTTAGCAAAAATATGAAAATAGGTCTCCCTTTAATTAAAGATCCCTTCAAAAAAGACCACCTCCAATTAAAGACCACTTTCTGCAGGCCTGAATATATGCCTATCTTTATGATAGTTTTTTTTTTTCTAATTAGAGACCAAAGGTGCTAAAGAATTGAAAAGCCTCATCCAAAGGTGTTATTTAACTGGAGGGAGACCTGTATTAACAACATGTCTCTAAAATTCAGTATTACCTTCACTAACAGCTAATAACAAATTATTGTATTGCATTTGCACACATTTTCTATGGGAATAAATTTTGATATAAAATATTCCGTTTAATAAGATTGTTAAAAAGTCTGGAACAGGAGAATGTGAAATACCAATTGCTTTTCAATAAACATAACACAAGACCTTTAGTACAATAACAATTAAAACCTAACTTACTCCACCGTGCAGTAAACAACTCTTTTCAAGAGCTGAATATTTTAATAATTTTCTAATATACTTCTATAGATTTCTATACATATTAGAGATATAATAATATAGATAATATACATATATATTTGTTTTAAGTGGCTGACAGCCACCAAGATATATTACCCCTCGTCCCATAGCAACTGTATTTGCCTGAATGTGACAACGATAACTGCTATGTTTGTCTCATCGCAACATTTCTTGACGGCTGTCGAAAATATAATACATTTATACACTTATTAATGATCTGTTTAGGCTATGCTTGTTTATGGTTTGTGGGCTTTTAAATTCCCTGCTTGAGATTTCTGGACATTACCCCTCGACCTCATCCTTGGGCCCTTGGCAGCCTCTAACCTCAACCTTGGTGTCTTGCTCCACTCGCACAGTGCTTATCAGGCCCACCCAATGTTAAAGCCATGCCGCAAATTTTGCTATAACCAAGTATTTTCATTTTTAGCAGGCATAATAAGTGGATGGATACAGACACTTCCAAAATTATGACTAAATCATGAAGATATCGGTCAAAGAAAGTAATTATCCTATTTATTTGAATGAAGGACTTGTTTATACTAGGGAGGTGCTTATTCAAGGGTGGCATTTATTTTCTTTGGCGTAAAATGAATACGTGTATAAAATAAACACACCTTAATTTCAATGTAAATATGGAACTTTAACAAATAATTACCATCAAAATGTATTATTGTGTGATCATAAAGACTTAATGATCCCAACCAGGGTAGAAAAAATGTAATTTTACTGTATGAAATTAATAGAATGTGTTGAGAATGATATTGCTTCAATTAGAATTGTATCGAGAGGTGTTTATTCCGAATGAGGTTCTAGAGGGGAGTTTATTCAGGGGGGGCATTTATTCAAATATATATGGTAACCTTACCAATTGTACTTGAATCCATTAAGGTTTTTCATTGGTGACCTCTTCGTAGATTTTATTTTGATGAGCTTCGGCAGAATGCTTCATCAACTCCCATGCTGACAGCGCTTTCTCACCACAGCTTGCACATTTCCATGATGCTGGTTCTGAAAACACAGCAAAATATAAATACAGTATTAACATTTTGGCCAAATGAATATGGCATACACATTTTGTCTATCCATGTAGTAATTCCTAGACAAGAGCAAGAAGTTTCTATAGGTGGAGTAATAACATGAGTGGCAGTAGTAATGACGATAATGTGATGACCATGATGAGGATGACGAGGAAATCAAGGATATTCTCTTTGACAGGACATTCTACACACATTTGAAAGAATATCTCATACTGTATCCAGAACTGGAAATCTCATTCTCACTAGACTGGACTCATATTCTTTGACAGTACATCCCGCATGTTATGAGGGGTATACATAATAATACGCTGGGCAAAACTGCATTGTACGACGGCCATCGGCTGATGAAATCATCTCCGCTAACTGTGTTAACGCTTGATGGTTGATGGCAGACCGAGCCATCATTAAAAATGATACATGGCGTATGCCTTGTCGCGTACCATTCTCGACTGAATCATGTTGGTTGACAATCGTCAATGCAGTGTGTGCCTGGCGTAACATAATAAATATCCAATGCCTGCTTACCATCCCCAGAAACAGGATCATGCTGTACCTGACGCATACTGCAAGATGTACCAGCAATTTTCTCACCAACAGCACCACTTCTACAATACAGGAAAAAAATACTCCAGCATTTTAAAAATAGTCATTCTTAAAGAGCTCAGGGTGGTGACAGCAGGAGCCCCCATAGGGGAGAGCTGGCTCCCCACTGAGGATAAAAACCACAATTTGTTGGGGAGAAAAAAAAAATTATATGTATTCTCTACATATTAATAGACTCTAAAACTGATTAAAGAAGCCTTTGAAACACCCCAAAATTGTCATGTTTTTCAAAAGATTTTGAGACACCCGACAACACCCACTTTGCTCTTTTCGGGGACATCAAGCTCCCTTGTGGACATCGGAACCCCTGTCAAGCAAATCCTGGAGTCACACCTCTATGAGTTTCTTGTTGATAAAACACTGTTCCTCATTAAAATATTGAATAATTCTATAAATATTCAAGTACTGATGGTGGAATTAGCTTGCTAGATTCTTCCTCTAAGTATAAAAAGCTTTATAACTTTGTAGGTGTAGAAATTAATATTAATATAGGATTATATAAAGCACCTTCTTACCTAGGGTAGGAAGGTGTTTTAAATGAATATAAGAGAATAAATAGACTACGGCACTTATTCCAGGATTTATTTTAATAATGTAGTCCACCAGTATTCCAACAAAACATTTACCATTAAAACTATTATCTTATAGTATTATTAATAAACAATGCATTCTTTTAATCATAAATGGAAAATTTACTTACCCATAATCTATTCGTTTGAACCCCTTGGGTCGGCCTGCGTCAGGCTCACTTGCAACATATATATCTGAACCAAAATAAGCATCAAGTTTGTCAGTAAAAAATGCAAACATCATTTCATTCCCATTAAAATAAAAATATCAATCTATACCAAAGTGATACTTCTGTATTTAGTAATGTAATCTACTGACGACGACGACGACGGCGACGGCGACAACGACCTTATTTTGCATGCCAAATTGTTGTATTTTCCATTAATAATCTGTAAGTCAAATTTTATCTTAGCTAAGACGAACAATTTTTCAATGCCATTTTGAATTTGACTTGGGCAAGTTCAACTGTAATAATAATAATAATAATAATAATTAATAATAATAATTAATAATAACAATAAAACTGTATTTATATAGCACCCAATGGATCACAGATCCCTCTAGGCACTTTACATAAATCTTAGGATGGAAAACTATCCCCGCCAAACACCAACCCAGTGATAGTGATATGTGGAAGACTATGGATATTATACTGACCACCTAAAGCCCTCCAAAATTAATAATAATAATGGAATTTATTTTCTGGGCATGGAGTAGTTGTAAGAACATTACTACAGAAACATTAATGTTAGCCTATCTCAAATAAATGATTCCAATTATCTATACTTACCTATAGGTTGTTTAGCGACAATTCTATTATTCTCAGCTTCTTTTGCTCGCCTTGCATTGAATTCACTTGTAAACTGCACAAATCCAAATCCTTTATGTAAAGAAATACCAGTGATTCTGCCATATGGTACAAACAGTCGTTCAATATCGCGTCGTGTTACATATCCTGTGTTCAGATTCCCTATAAACAATCTGGAAGCCTTCGATTTTGGGTCGTTACTGTTTGTTGCACTGCCAACTGAACATAGATGACTGTTGTCTCCGTGATAGTATGCTCCGTAGGCTGAGAAACCAGGAGGAGGGAAGGGACCTCCGTATGGACCATAGAATGCCCCTCGATGCATTGCCAGATATAGTCTCTAAAAAAAAAAACTGGCAAGGAAATATTGTGGTGAAGAATTATGTAAAATGAATAACATTAATTATGACATGCAGTTAGCACAACACGTATTATAAAATTATTCTATGTTCTGCCTCTCTGCTAATTACACAAAAGGTATTGTTGGATGTTTACATTAAAACCTGCATTATTCCATTACTTGGGATGTGACAGATAGTGATAAATATCTATAAAATATTTGTAAGTTACTGAAACCTGGACGGTAATACAAGATACAATTTGTGTATTGTTATGTCATTCATCAATGGTTTTGTAAACAACACTGAATATTAAAACACACACATAAGGGCTCTGTCAAGGTAATTCTGTAAACAAAAAAGTGAGTGTTACCAGTTGTAATGAAAGGAATTTCTAATTCTCTTCAAACCACACTTACTAAACAACAAAAATTAGACTTGCTCTTTTATACATAAATATTTCATCGACGATTTGCTGGTATTGTTTTGTATGTTTTCTTAAAATTCAAATTTTCAGGGCATAAGACCTAGTATTAAATTTTACAAACTTATGACTAGTATTGTGTCCACTGGATATGTGTAAAACACAGTTTCTATTGATTTATTCCATCATGGTACATGCTATATTGAATAAAAATATGCTTTTACAAAAGTATTTTTTTGGTCGTGTATGAATTTCATTGAAGTATGATTGGATTGATCATCTTAAGTGGGGATTTTTTTAAATTTTTTTTTTATTGCAAGTATTGAGAAATGTATTGAGTATTTAGTACAATAACACGTCAGGTAGAGCAAAAACTTCACTCCCATATTACCTGACGCAAACTCATCACAAAATACAGTAGCATATTCGCTTAGTTTTTAATGATCCTTTGACTTTGGCATTTCCACATCGTAATTGATTTCTGAATGCTTTTAGCATCAGAAACAAAAATAGTGTGGTGGTGTATTTCAAGTGTGGTGATGTCACTTCAAGTGTGGCGATGTCATATCAAGTGTGGTGATGTCATATCAAGTGTGGTGATGTCATTTCATGTGTGGTGATGTCATTTCATGTGTGATGATGTACAGTAGTAGTAGAATATCTGTGTATTTCACTATCATCAATTAATCAATATCAAATACACAATCTATCATTTTCAAATACTTGCTATATGCTTAATATTAGTGACTCAACCAACACTCAGTGTAACTTCGCCCACCCCACACACCCTCCACCAACACACACACACAAAACAAAGGAATAGGGATCTAAGGTTTCACTCAGAAGTTTAACATACAGAGTTTAATATCTTTAAATAACTTGAAAACATTCTAATACACATTGCAACAAATTATATGATGAAACTTCCTGCTCATAAGAAAACAAGAAGCTTCGACATATGACACTGACAATATATCACATGACTAAATAAAGCTTGAATACTGTAGTTAAGATCAATGATGACTAAAAGTGGAATTTCCACTACTACCAGACAATCTATCTTTAGACATTATGTGATAATAATCACATGACTGACGAGGAAATGAAAGTACAGTATAATGAATCGTATAATTTAAAAGATCATTAAAATTTCATTTTAAATCGATGATTACAATTAACATCTCTAAGATTCTGGTTAATTATAATTAAACTCAAATTAGCATGGATTATGCATACAAATACATTCATATCAGGTAAAATTAGTTTATTCATTCAATTACAGAAAACCATCATCAAGCAAATGTCATAACCTGTAGACGATTGCCAGACAACAATCCAACTTTATTAATGTAATTCAATGTTTAATCTGTATAATTTTTTTAATTGATAGTTTTTTTGTTTTCTCATTATTTTATAAAATAATTTATATACATATATATACATATATATATATATATATATATATATATATATATACATATATATATAAATATATGGTATCTTTATTATATATA